ATCTCAAAATGGTTCTGCAGAAAGTTTATACAACACAAACAGCTGTGTATGTAATTACATACATGTATTTGTCTAATTGAACAGTTAAATTAATTTATCATGGTAAGGATTGAGTGAGATTGTAAGTTCTGAATCCTCCTCAGGCAATCAGACTTGATTACATGCATTGAGATGTCATGAATGTATTTTATAATAGCCTGTTTGTCGTATGTCAGGTGTTGCTGTGCCTGCCGAGCAATATCCGGGGAGAGTACTGTCATCTAGTGTCTTCTCCAACTCTTCTCATTGAACAGCTGCTTATGAATATGAAGGTAAGTGACAGTAGTTCACTGAAAGTGTACTAAGAGTACCCGGTATGTCTTGTATGCTAAACAACTTGTGTTACATATTCACAATGCTGTTATTGACAGTCCTACAAACTATTTGTTAAATATTAGTTGATATATATGGACCTAGAGGCTTAACCGCTTTAAGCATTCGTCCATTATTATTCAATTAAATTCAATTAACTGAGAGTCTGTCTTCTGCAATGATTGATTTGGAGTATAAACTTATCTGTTGTGAAATGTAGCTATTATCATTTGAATGAAAAGATTTAATAGGTTGATCACTTTCAATAGCAGTCTTGTAAGATAAAATTAGAATTGAAAGTGTGACACTGTGATAGTCGTTGCTTAAATTAAAAAAAATGTGATATCTATTCACCAGTCCGAAGTTCTTACCAATAAAATAATCAGCATATCCTGTCTCTAAATCTATACCACCATACGTCATACGTCCTAAGAAATATTGGATAGTGTAACACTGACAGTTAAATATGACCTTGACCTTACAGATTGACCTTGCTGGTAAGGCATATGAAACCATCAGGAAGGACCAGGTCAAAGTTCAAAATCCAAGTCTGAGGTTCACTGTAGAGCAGTTCAACCACCTGGTGGCAACCTATGCCACAAAGGCCCTGGAGTTTGTCACAGTACAGGTCATTGTATCAGGTCAGTGTCAAAGGTTATCAGATGTAGTGTCAAAGTTCATTGTGTTAGTGTCAAAGTTCATTGTGTGAGTGTCAAAGTTCATTGTGTTAGTGTCAAAGGTTATCAGGTGAAGTGTCAAAGTTCATTGTGCGAGTGTCAAAGTTCATTCTGTTAGTGTCAAAGTTCATTGTGTCATTTCAATGGAAAGGATAATTAATTATATGATATACATCATTAATACATGTTAAGACTTTAAGATATACTATAAGGAGCTTTACACTACACAATTAGTGTAAATCATGAAATAATTTAGACAGTATTAATTGGTTTACAAGAAAAAAGAGGAAAAGACTATTTCAGGAATTTGCTTGTCATGTTGTAAATAGATGATCCGAAGGACCAAAGTGAGCTTATGCTGTGGGGCAGCGTCCGTCGTCCTTCGTCAACTTTTTCTTTAAAACCTATCTCCTCCTAAACGCCAAAGAGGATTTCAACCAAATTTAGACTGAAGCATCACTTGGGGAGGGTAATCATTTCTTGAATAAATGGGGCTGGTTCAACCCCTAAGGCCAGGGGGGCGTGGCCCTGAAGGGGAAATTTCCTAAATTTGCTTTAAAACACATCTCCTGCTAAACGCCAGAGAGGATTCAACCAAATTTAGTCTGAAGCATCAGTAGGGAAGGGCAATCATTTTAAAATAAATGGGTTTGGTTTGACCCCTGAGGACAGGGGGGCGGGGCCCTGAAGGGGAACTTAGCTAAATTTGCTTTAAAACGCATCTCCTACTTAACGCCAGAGAGGATTTCAAACAAATTTAGTCTAAAGCATCACTAGGGGAGGGCAATCATTTCTTGAATAAATGGGGTTGGTTCGACCCCTAAGGCCAGGGAGGCGTGGCCCTGAAGGGGAACTTTCCTAAATTTGCTTTAAAACGCATCTCCTGCTAAACGCCAGAGAGGATTTTTCAACCAAATTTAGTCCGAAGCATCAGTAGGTAAGGGCAATCATTTTTAAATAAATGAGGTTGGTTCAACCCCTGAGGCCAGGGGGGGCCCTGAAGGGGAACTTAGCTAAATTTGCTTTAAAACACATCTCCTGCTAAACGCCAGAGAGGATTTCAACCAAATTTAGTCCGAAGCATCACTAGGGGAGGGCAATCATTTCTTAAATAAATGAGGTTGGTTCGACCCCTGAGGCCAGTGGGGTCGGGGGCCTGAAGGGGAACTTAGCTAAATTTGCTTTAAAACGCATCTCCTGCTAAACGCCAGAGATGATTTTAACCAAATTTGCTCTGAAACTTCATTAGGGGAGGGCAATCATTTCCTAAAGAAATAAGATTGGTTCGACCCCTGAGGCCAGGGGGGCGTGGCCAATACCCTATACGCTAATACCCCCTAATTGCTTGAGTGGATTGTACAAAATTTGGTCAAAAACATTATTGAGAAAGAACAAACATTTCTTAATTGAATGAGGTTGATTTGACCCCTGCGGTCCTAAGAAATGGTACAGCTAGATTATCATATTCTATTGTGCAGTTTTCAAAAATTGTTAAAAATTGGTTTCTAGGTTTATAAAAGCTTATAGTTGAATGAAAATATAAGTATTGTCTAATTACACTCTGTAATATGACATATTACTTATTTCAAAATCTGTTAACATGGCAACTCAATGGAGGCCCCTGATTAGTTGAAAGTCAGATATTGTGGTCCCAGTTGGGTTAGAACATAGATCTTGTCTGGTTTTGAGGAAATTTCATATAAAGATGTACTAATGCATTCAGTTGTAATGACTTATATATACACAGGTACAAGCAATACAGGTGCAATGGACCTCTTGTTTTTATTCATAAATCTTACATTAAAGGGAAGGAAAGAACTCATTCACAATTATCAAATTCATCCATCCCTGAGAAACATGATGGGAGCACAGAGCATGCCCTATTATCAACCAGAAAATCGGTTGTGTTTGAGACATTGAGGGCCAGCAGAAGGAGTGTGGATATATCAGGTATGGTAACCACCTCCCATTGTCTACATTGTCTACACATTGATACCATAGATATCTAACACTTAGTCTGTTCAATAGGATTTTACCATCAGATTAAAACCTCTGTGTAATTATAAACAAACGTGTTATTTATAATCAAAAATGATAGTCACAAGACTTAGTGATAATAGTCATCACTGATAAATAACCATATATGTTTAGATTTGTCAATTCTACTCCATAAAAAAAGTTATGTACAGTGACCACACTTAGGAATTAATTTTACTTTTCATGACAGCCCTGCAGAAAACCTCTACTAGTGCCCCTTCACCAGGCCTCCCCCCAACCCTGGCACACCGTCAGAGTCCTGGTGGTAGTCAACTGTTTGTGATGCCATCAGAACCGCCACCCAAGGACCGGTGGGTGCAGGACAACGCCACCGACACCTGTATGGTCTGTCACATGGAGAAATTCAGCATGGTAGGCCTCTCAAATGTTTTTGGTTTGTTTGCATTTTACATCCTATTAACAGCTATGGTCATTTGAGGACTTGCCAGGTTTTGGTAGTGGAAGAAAGCTTGAGTTCCCAAAGAAAAAAACGCCAACTGATAGCCAGTACCTGGTGACTGCCCCACATAGACCTCAAACCCACGACCTAGTGGTGGAGGGCTAGATAGCAGAATGTCAGACACCTTAACCACTTGGCCGCCACCGCCCTTCTCATATGTTATAGCTCTCATTTAACTCAGGTGTATAATGGTATGTCACTCAGATAGGTCACACAATTTAATATTAAAGGTAAAGCCATGTCTAGTCATCATAGATAGTCCAGAAACTGTATCCTTATCAACATTACATAGTGTTGATGGCTGAATAGAAGACCCACCTCATTGATTCCACAGTATCAAGGTTGCAAGTTGGCAAAATAAAGGAAAGTGTCATTTCAAGATGAATTGCTTACAATATTAAGTAGCCCTACATGTATTAACAACTTATTATGTACTTTGCTGTTTGTTTCAGTTCAATAGGCGTCATCACTGTCGGCGATGTGGTCGTTTGGTGTGTGCCCAGTGTTCTACCAAGACCACCATGATACAGGGAATTAGGGCAAGGACGTGTAACGACTGCTTTGATCAAACTCACCTCTCACACAGGTACAAACTCACCTATTACACAGGTACAAACTCACTTATCATACAGGTACAAACTCACCTCTCACACAGGTACAAACTAACCTATCACACAGGTACAACCTCACCTCCCACACAGGTACAAACCCATCTCTCATACATGTACAAACTCACATATCACATAGGTACAAATTCACTTATCACACAGGTACAAACTCACCTTTCACACAGGTACAAACTCATCTCTCACACAGGTACAAAATCATCTCTCATACAGGTACAAACTCACATATTACACAGGTACAAACTCACTTATCACACAGGTACAAACTCACCTCTCACACAGGTACAAACTCACTTATCACACAGGTACAACCTCACCTCCCACACAGGTACAAACTCACTTATCACACAGGTACAAACTCATCTCTCATACAGGTACAAACTCACTTATCACACAGGTAAAAACTCACCTCTCACACAGGTATAAACTCACCTCTCACAGCCACAAACTCATTCCTTACAACGGCATACACTTACCTCTTACACAGGAATAAACTTCACTCACAGGTACCTTTTCAGATCAACATCAAATATCAATAAATATTAATTTGAGGTTCTTATATACTGCTTAATAACAACCTAGTTTATAGATAGTCTCAAAGCGGTTCACAAATTATCATCCGTAGTTATATGGTCTTTGCAACCAGCCAAAATCTTTCTCAACTCCCTGGGGAGCATACAGCCGGAGCTGCCATTTCGGAGCTCACAGCTAGCATTCAACAATTCTAGCACTGCCCAACCACGTACTCATTTACAACAGTGTGGTGACGTGACTCAAACCCGGAACCCTTCGGTCTCGAGCCCGGCTTCCTACCACTGGACTACCATGCCGCCTTTAGAAATACAAAATAGTTCCCAGATCAACATCAAAGACAGTGTGATCACTGAATCAATGTCAAAGAAAGCTTGATCAGAGACTACGGTTGTAAGATAGCACGATTAGAGAGTACAAAAATAGGTCATGTTTCTATCTAAATTCTGATTATTTAAAGATTCCAGAAATAAACTTAATTAATTTTGTATTACTGCAGTAAGCTTGCTAAAATTCAGCGAGAGGCTGCCAGGAGAGGAGGAAGTCCAACAGAGTTCCGACGTGCTTCTTCTACCAACAACCTTGGGGACATAGCATCTATCAAGGAGGACAGTGTGGGGGAGGATACTAGTTACATGGAACAGCTGGAACTGCAATGGCAGCTAAAGGCAGGAGATGACTCTCACAACTCTGTGGTCAGGGATGATTTCTGTTTTGAGCAGGTGAGTGAGAGGGAGAAGGGAGTCGGTCTGGGGCAGATGAGAAAGGGTGGGGAAATATTCAGGCTTATCTATGTTAGTTTCTAAAGATAAAGTGGTAATGATTTAATGATATGTTTAACCATGTGTTTGATAAATCCTGATTGTTACAGGCACCCAGTACATCATTGTGTATGTCCATCCTGGATCTCCATAGTAACACCAAGGCCAGTGGCCAGTTGGTCCTACAGCTGTGTGATGATCTGTCTAAACACCTAAAGTCCATTGCTCCTGGACTTCCCAACCCAGAGGTGGATTACAGCCTTGTTCTGAGGTAGGTTACATAATACTGGTAGAATTACTTGTCTTGTTCACTTTTGTCAGGTGCTTATCGTAATGTATTAGCATACCTCTCATTATTCTATTTACATCTAATATGTAATATTGAAATCAATGATTTCAAAACATTTGACAAGAGAACAAAGTGCCATGTCTCATTTTGTGTTCAGTATATTGTGACCAGTATATTGTGACCAGTATTTTGTGTTCAGTATATTGTGACCAGTATATTGTGACCAGTATTTTGTGTTCAGTATATTGTGACCAGTATATTGTGACCAGTATATTGTGTTCAGTATATTGTGACCAGTATATTGTGATCAGTATATTGTGTTCAGTATATTGTGACCAGTGTATTGTGACCAGTGTGACCAGTATATTGTGACCAGTATTTTGTGTTCAGTATATTGTGACCAGTATATTGTGACCAGTATTTTGTGTTCAGTATATTGTGACCATTATATTGTGTTCAATATATTGTGACCAGTATATTGTGACCAGTGTGACCAGTATATTGTGACCAGTATGTTGTTACCAGTATATTGTGACCAGTGTGACCAGTATGTTGTGACCAGTATTTTGTGTTCAGTATATTGTGACCAGTGTGACCAGTATATTTTGACCAATATATTGTGACCAGTAGTTTTGTGTTCAGTATATTGTGTTCAGTATATTGTGACCAGTGTGACCAGTATATTGTGACCATAATTTTGTGTTCAGTATATTGTGACCAGTATGTTGTGACCAGTATATTGTGTTAAGTATATTGTGACCAGTATATTGTGACCAGTGTGACCAGTATATTGTGACCAGTATATTGTGACAAGTGTGGCCAGTATATTGTGACCAGTATGTTGTGACCAGTGTGACCAGTGTGACCAGTGTGACCAGTATATTGTGACCAGTATGTTGTGACCAGTATATTTTGTTCAGTATATTGTGACCAGTGTGACCAGTGTGACCAGTATATTGTGACCAGTATTTTGTGACCAATATATTGTGACCAGTATATTGTGTACAGTATTTTGTGACCAGTATATTGTGACCATTGTGACCAGTATGTTGTGACGACCAGTATATTGTGACCAGTATATCATCATCTTTGTAAACTTTGCCTTTAACTCCTACACAGTATGATGAAGAGCCTGTTGTTTCATGCCAAGATGAAGTTTAGTGAGTGTGGCGAGACACAAGGTCTAGGTCAGTGTGAGCTATATCAGGGTCGTATAGACATCCTCGGGGTGCTAGTGGCCGACAACTACCGGGACCTGCCTTCCCTCCAGGAGCTCACCAAACCAGACATAGTCAGGTAACTATAGACAACTAATCCCTGGTTGGTGTGGTTACCAACAGCTTCATTTGATAATCGTAATATTTACTTTAACTTGTTTTATTCTTTTGTGACTGATTTTTTATTCTGTCATGCTGTTTTAGGCGCCTACGTGACAAGCTTATTGAAGCAGAGCGTCTTCCTCTCGCTGTGGAGGTGTCCACAAAATGTGGTCTGGACCCTGCTGGTGTGTGGGCTGCCTGGGGCATGAGCTGTCTCCAGGGTGGTGACTTCAACAGGGCAAGGGAAAAGTTAGGCAGGTGTCTCAAGGTATGTAACAAGTGTCTCATTGTACAAGTGTGTGTGAGAACAGGTGTGTTGGTGTATGTCACTGGTGTCGCAAGGTATGTAACAAGTGTCTCATTGTACAAGAGTGTGTAAGAACAGGTGTGTTTGTGTATGTCACTGGTGTCTCAAGGGTATGTTACAAATGTCTCATTATACAAGTGTGTGTAAGAACAGGTGTGTTGGTATATGTCACTGGTGTCGTAAGGTATGTAACAAATGTCTCATTATACAAGTGTGTGTAAGAACAGGTGTGTTGGTGTATGTCACTGGTGTCGCAAGGGTATAAACAAGTGTCTCATTGTACAAGAGTGTGTAAGAACAGGTGTGTTGGTGTATGTCACTGGTGTCGCAAGATATGTAACAAGTGTCTTATTGTACAAGTGTGTGTAAGAACAGGTGTGTTTGTGCATGTCACTGGTGTCGCAAGATATGTAACAAGTGTCTCATTGTACAAGTGTGTATAAGAACAGGTGTGTTGGTGTACGTCACTGGTGTCACAAGGTATGTAACAAGTGTCTCATTGTACAAGAGTATGTAAGAACAGGTGTGTTGGTGTATGTTACTGGTGTCGCAAGGTATGTAACAAATGTCTTATTGTACAAGAGTATATAAGAACAGGTGTGTTGGTGTATGTCACTGGTGTCCCAAGGTATGTAACAAGTGTCTCATTGTACACGTGTGTGTAAGAACAGGTGTGTTGGTGTATGTCACCAGTGTCACAAGGTATGTAACAAATATCTCATTGTACAAGAGTATGTAAGAACAGGTGTGTTGGTGTATGTCACCGGTGTCGCAAAGGTATGTAACAAGTGTCTCATTGTACAAGTGTGTGTAAGAACAGGTGTGTTGGTGTATGTCACCGGTGTCGCAAGGGTATAAACAAGTGTCTCATTGTATTAATGTGTGTAAGAACAGGTGTGTTGGTGTATGTCACTGGTGTTGCAAGGGTATAAACAAGTGTCTCATTATACAAGTGTGTGTAAGAACAGGTGTGTTGGTGTATGTCACTGGTGTTGCAAGGTATGTTACAAGTGTCTCATTGCACAAGTGTGTGTAAGAACAGGTGTGTTGGTGTACGTCACTGGTGTCGCAAGGGTATAAACAAGTGTCTCATTGTACAAGTGTGTGTAAGAACAGGTGTGTTGGTGTATGTCACAGGTGTTGCAAGGTATTAACAAGTGTCTCATTGTACAAGTGTGCGTGAGAACAGGTGTGTTGGTGTATGTCACTGGTGTCGCAAGGTATATAACAAGTGTCTCATTGTACAAGTGTGTGTAAGAACAGGTGTGTTGGTGTATGTCACTGGTGTCACAAGGTATGTAACAAGTGTCTCATTGTACAAGTGTGTGTGAGAACAGGTGTATTGGTGTATGTCACCGGTGTTGCAAGGTATGTAACAAGTGTCTCATTGTACAAGTGTCTGTAAGAACAGGTCTGTTTATGTATGTTACAGGTGTCTCTAGGTATGTAACAAGTGTCTCATCTTATATGTGTGGAAGAATAGGTCTGTTAGTGTTTGTCACTGGTGTCTCAAGATTTCTATATGACTGGAGTATCATCTTTTCTAGATAATGTGTGTTTCTGAAGTATGCTACAACCTACTGTCTCAACATCCCTAGGGAATCTGTTGTATATTATTATTGTAACTAGTGCCACTGTACAGAGATCTCTTTTGTAGGTATTCATGGATACTACCTTCATGTACAAGTCCTTAATGATTTTTTTTTTAGTTTGTCTTTCAGACAAACTGATCTAATACCACAGGGTCTTTCGTCTGTCCTTCAAAAATTTCTTTAACCAACTTCTTATTTAGAAATGCTAAATTTAATTTCATCAAATGACAGAAAACCTCTTTAGTTGGTGGGAATAAAAGTTCAAAGTCATGTGTAAAAGGTCAAGGTCATGGCTACAGCATTCCTGACTAAGTTTTCTTACAATGTTCATGACACTTAACACAACCATTCATGACATTAATTTCTGGAGATCACTTAGGTCAAAGTCATATGGTCACAGCTACAAAATTGTTAGCTGATGATGGGAAAACTTTAAACTTAATTTAATGAAATATACTTCATATCTTTTCACACCATAGCCCATACTTTTTGTTTTACACAGATAAGTGCATTGTGTCACTTCCGTCACTATCCTACAAGTATTATGTACCCCATACTATCAGTCTGTCTTCAACAATGTTTTTTTTTTTTTTTATTTATTGGTGATAACTTTCCTGTATATGCAGTACGTTAACCACGAGGAAGAAAATTGCATAAACCCTGTGTAAATAGAGAATAAGTACAGTATCCACAAATGTTACCCATTACTTCTATGTAGTTAACACACTGGATTGCTAGTACAGCACACGTCCCTTTTTTATCATTATATATGTTACATGTGTAATTGTAATTTGTGCACCAGTATATCATTTATGGTTTCCAGGTACCAAAAGATAGGAACCAGAGCCAACAGGAATCTACACTACTGTCTGATATCATCAGCTGTCTGGAATCTATGTCTGGGGTCGGCTCAACAGAGGTCAGTACCTGTGTTTGTAGGGTCAGGGGAGGTCAACCTATAGTTTGGGCAGGGTCAACAGAGGTCTATCTTTGTCAGTGTAAGGTCAAAAGAGAAAGTCTGGGATATTCTCCACAGAGGTAATTTTGTAAAGAAGAATCCCATCGCGTCAGTCTTTATCAGGTTATGGACAGTATTTGATTGAATACTGATTTATGTACTGTTAGAGACAACAGCTCACACTGTGTATATAACAAAAAGCTGTAAAACATAATTAATGCTGAACATTTGTTTCTTAGTATCAGATGCTGTTGACCAATCCTGGCTCTGTTAAAAGTATACTAGCCTGTCCTACTGCTGTAAGTACTAGTTTTAGTCTGAACCACTAATAATTTGAATCATATTGCCAAATGCCACTGAATTAATTCTCATTCTGTGCCTGTTTTTGACTCAATTTTTAGCTCACCTGGCCCGAAGATGGTGCCATATCCGGCATCAATATTTTACTTTAAGCAACTTCTTCTGAATAACAAAATGTCCAGGGTGATGATATTTGGCCATTAGCATGCTAAGATGAAGGGCTACCAAGTTTGTTCAAATGAATGACCTTCACCCATATTCAAGGTCACAGGGGCCAAATATGTAAAAATCTTTAAATGACTTCTGAAGAATAACCATAAGGCCAAGATATCTGGTCAGCAGTATGCTGGGATCAAGGGCTACCAATTTGTTAAAGTGAATGACCTTGACCCACTTTCAAAGTCACATTTGGTCAAATGAGCCAATTTCAAAATAAACAAAAAGATAGGGTGGTGATATTTCAACATATTGACCTTGTTTGACTTTCAAGGTAACTGGGTGAAATGTTTTTAAATCTAACAGGTTCTTTTGAATGACTTTAATCATAAATACTGATGTGATTCAGTATGTCACTGTATGTGACTCATTGTGACCCTTATGTGACTCAGTCTGTCCCTGTATGTGACTCATTGTGACCTTGTATGTGACTCAGGCTGTCCCTGTATGTGACTCATTGTGACCCTGTATGTGACTCAGTCTGTCCCTGTATGTGAATTCGTCTGACCTTGTATGTGACTGAGTCGTCTGTCCCTGTATGTGACTCATTGTGACCCTGTATGTGACTTCATCTGTCCCTGTATGTGACTCTGTCTGTCCCTGTTTGTGACTCCATCTGTCCCTGTATGTTTTGACTCAGTCTGTCCCTGTATGTGACTCAGTCTGTCCCTGTATGTGACTCTGTCTATCCCTGTATGTGACTCAGTCTGTCCCTGTATGTGACGCCGTCTGACCCTGTATATGACTCAGTCTGTCCCTGTATGTGACTCTGTCTGACCTTGTATGTGACTCAGTCTGTCCCTGTATGTGACTCAGTCTGTCTCTGTATGTGACTCAGTCTGTCTCTGTATGTGACTCCGTCTGTCCCTGTATGTGACTCCGTCTGTCCCTGTTTGTGACTCCATCTGACCTTGTATGTGACTCAGTCTGTCCCTGTATGTGACTCATTGTGAACCTGTATGTGACTCAGTCTGTCCCTGTATGTGACTCATTGTGACCCTGTATGTGACTCAGTCTATCCCTGTATGTGACTCCGTCTGTCCCTGTATGTGACTCCGTCTGTCCCTGTATGTGACTCCGTCTGTCCCTGTTTGTGACTCTGTCTGTCCCTCTATGTTTTGACTCAGTCTGTCCCTGTATGTGACTCTGTCTATCCCTGTATGTGACTCAGTCTGTCCCTGTATGTGAATCCGTCTGACCCTGTATATGACTCAGTCTGTCCCTGTATGTGACTCCGTCTGACCTTGTATGTGACTCAGTCTGTCCCTGTTTGTGACTCAGTCTGTCCCTGTATGTGACTCCGTCTGTCCCTGTTTGTGACTCTGTCTGTCCCTCTATGTTTTGACTCAGTCTGTCCCTGTATGTGACTCTGTCTATCCCTGTATGTGACTCAGTCTGTCCCTGTATGTGAATCCGTCTGACCCTGTATATGACTCAGTCTGTCCCTGTATGTGACTCCGTCTGACCCTGTATGTGACTCAGTCTGTCCCTGTATGTGACTCCGTCTGACCCTGTATGTGACTCAGTCTGTCCCTGTATGTGACTCGGTCTGTCCCTGTATGTGACTCAGTGTGTCCCTATATGTGACTCAGTCTGTCCCTATATGTGACTCAGTCTGTCCCTGTATGTGACTCAGTGTGTCCCTATATGTGACTCAGTGTGTCTTTGTTACAGAGCTATACTGATGAGGCTGATGTGGAGTCAGCCCAGTACCAAGAATGTTTGTATTACCTCCGTACCTACGCATCTTTCCACACCATCGTCAGCTTCCACCGTGGGAATGGCTATTGGATGAAAGCTACACAGTACATACTTGACCATGTAAGTTTACTGACAAGACAATGTTAATATCACAATGTCCTTTTTGTTATCACGTAGCTGCTTTTATGTTATTTCTAAGTGAACATCATCATTTTGAGAAAAATGTTGAATGTTGTACCGTGTTGAATGTAGCACAGTTGTACTCTGTTATTCAGAACCTCAAAAAAAGATTATCACAATATTATAAAGAAAAGAAAAAATCAGTTCAATACGTACTTCACAAATTTTGTCTGAGTGTCTCTTCCCTATGACTTAAGTGTTGGTCATGTTATTAATCAAATTGGCCCAACAGAGCTGAAGCTATAGCTATTAATGTTAGCTGAATCAGATGCTCTTATAGCAATTTTGATTCATGAAATCTAAAAGTTAGTGTTTTATTTAAGTATTTTATCACATGCAAAACATGTTAGATTGGCATAATATTATATCGCTGCAAATATCCCGCCCTTCAAAGGTAACTATGTCAATCATAAATATGTTAGGTCAATGATTTGATGTGAATTTTTAGTCTAGAGTATCAGGTATTGATGTGTTGGATTTGATTGCTGTTTACTGAAGCCTACTGAATTTTAAACCTCTATTTTGTAGAAGTGTTCCAGTGAAGTGTTTGTGGATGCCCTACTGTCGCCGGCCATTGAGGAAGGGCGGTTGGGGGAGTTAGTGGATCAGATGGTGATGATAGACCCTTCACTTGAGCGCTGGCATCCCTACCTAACCACCGCCTGTCGCTATCTTCTTAAACACAGGCTTCACCACACTCTGTACCAGTTCCAGCTCTTCATGAAGGTCAGTGTTAATGGGGTTAAGGTCAGTGTACAGGGAATGAATGTCAGTGTACAGGGGATGAAGGTCAGTGTTATTGGGGTTAAGGTCAGTGTTAATGGTATGAAGGTCAGTGTACAGTGGGTGAAGGTCAGTGTTAATGGTATAAAGGTTAGTGTACAGGGTATGAAGGTCAGTGAACAGGGGATGAAAGTCAGTGAACAGGGGATGAAGGTCAGAGTACACGAGATGAAGGTCAGTGTTAATGGTATGAAGGTCAGAGTACAGGGGATGAAGGTCAGAGCACAGGGGATGAATGTCAGTGAACAGGGGATGAAAGTCAGTGAACAGGGGATGAAGGTCAGAGTACACGAGATGAAGGTCAGTGTTAATGGGGTTCAGGTCAGTGTTAATGGTATGAAGGGCAGTGTACAGGGTATGAAGGTCAGTGTACAGTGGGTGAAGGTTAGTGTATAGGGGATGAATGTCAGTGTTAATGAGGTTAAGGTCAGTGTTAATTGTATGAAGGTCAGTGTACAGGGGATGAAGGTTAGAGTACAGGGGATGAAGGTCAGTGTTAATGGGGTTAGGGTCAGTATTAATGAGATGAAGGTCAGTATATAACGTGAGGGGTGTAATTCTGTTCAGTTTTATAAGTGGTAAAGGTAGTTGTATAAGGAGTGAAGGTTAGTGTATAATGAGTAAAGATCAGTTTGTACCGAGAGAAAGTTAGTATATATAACGATGAAAGCTCATACAATGTTTTGTGAATGAAATTTATTACAGGGTAAAGGTCAGTGTAATTGAGATTGCTAGATTGCTCTCTAAATCCTTGTTACTCTCAGCCACTGGCATTGTTGACATACTGATTGTCTTACTTGACATGTCCAATATCATGTAAAATTAAGATGAGTAATCTATTTCTATCTGACTTTAGAGAAAGATTTTTCACTTGGCTATAAACAACTCACTGATTTGGTTTCCAGGATTTCATTCGTGCGGCCATGACCTGTATTACTTATTTCTACCAGAAGGGAGCTCAGAGTTACCTTGACCTGTCAGGAAAAGTTAATTATTTGTACAAAGCTCACCAGCACCTACAGGCCTACCTTGATCCCTCCCAGTGGGGGAGCATTAGTCGCCCTCAGTTTCAAACTGATAATCACTCTGTTAACTGGGACAAACGCCCCGCAGAGGCCTCCATCCGGCTCATTCAGACCCCCGAGGAAGTCTCACGGTAAGTCATGTTGTATTTATGTTCTCTTCCTCTTCACTCCACATGCCTTTAAACTTTCCATCTTTAAACTGTGACCAGATCTCTCTCAGTTGTATGTTGTATTACCAAATGATCACATTAGATTTAACTGTTCACGTCCTGCTACATATACCCCTATAATTCTGCAGTGGTTGTGATCACACTTCAGCTTGACCAGTAGAAACCTGCTATACATACCAATGATAAGGTCACTCCTAGATGGACATCTCATAGATACGTTGTCTTTATAATGTTGCCTGGTATGTTACATGTTTTTGTATCTTTCTATATGGCCTATTAACAATGTAAGTTGTTTAAGGCCAAACAGCATATTGCTCGGTATATTCATTAGAAAAGCCACTGAACTGACAAACAGTGGTCAAGATTGCAACTTGAATAGGGAAGATATTGATTGCATTGAAAGCTTGAAAGTACTTTTTGATATCCACAATATATTAATGGAATTATTGATAATTACTCAATGTAAACTTGTGTTGTATTTTTACCCCGTCAGACATCTGATGATGGTCAGCCTACAGATTGAAGTGACCAAATTTTTACATGAGTGTCTCACGAACACCGAGGCAGACGCCACCAAAGTAGCTTCCTCCTATGTCAACATGGCCACCTCACAGCAGTTACCAACGTTAATGGGCAGTTCCAAGGTCAAGGGGGACCTGGTCATCATGGTAGGTACACTTCAAGGTCAAAGCTGGTTAATATAGTAGGTACAATTCAAGGTCAAACATGGTCAACATGGTAGGTAAAATTTAAGGTCAAACATGGTCATTATGGTAGGTACAATTCAAGGTCAAACTTGGTCAACATGGTAGGTACAATTCAAGGTCAAACTTGGTCAATATGGTAGGTACAATTCAAGGTCAAACTTGGTCATTATGGTAGGTACAATTCAAGGTCAAACTTGGTAATTATGGTAGGTACAATTCAAGTTCAAACTTGGTCATTATGGTAGGTAAAATTCAAGGTCAAACTTGTTCATTATAGTAGGTACAATTTAAGGTCAAACATGGTCAACATGGTAGGTACAATTTAAGGTCAAACATGGTCAACAAGGTAGGTAAAATTCAAGGTCAAACATGGTCATTATGGTAGGTACAATTTAAGGTCAAACATGGTCAACATGGTAGGTACACTTCAAGGTCATACATGGTCATCATGGTAGGTACAATTCAAGGTCAAACTTGGTCATTATGGTAGGTACAATTCAAGGTCAAACTTGGTCATCATGGTAGGTACAATTCAAGGTCAAATTTGGTCATCACGGTAGGTACAATTTTAAGGTCAAACTTGGTCAATATGGTAGGTACAATTCAAGGTCGAACTTGGTCATTATGGTATGTACACTTCAAGGTCGAACTTGGTCATTATGTTAGGTATGTTATATATCCTCTATTTATAATAATAGAAAATATAATCACTTGGTAAGTCTTATAAACTAGGCAAACTGTTTAGGTATGAAATTCCTTTCACTGTATTATGATAACTTATCATTGACAACACTTAAATACATTCTTTTCATTTGATCTTTATTTCAGATTTTACTCAGTGGAAATGACATTGTGCAAGCCTTTGGACTTGCCAATAAGATCTTGAAGGTACAGTGGTTTATTCTATTTCTCCCTACTTGTTTGGTAAATAAAGAATATCACATAGCTAATTCTATAGAATAATTTGTATCAGCCTGATATTGCTAAACTTCAGACTGACTAAAATCAGACAGGATTCTATTTTACTTCAAGCCATGTGATTTGTTAATTTCTATAATTTATCCCTAAAACTTTAAATCTTGTAATCGTTCAGGAAGGTATTGCACTGGATATTATAAAGGACTCAAATTTAAATGTGTCCTAATTAGCAAAGTTTAACTAATGTTTGCTAAGTAGTAAAGCTTAATGTATACTGATTAGGATGATTTAACACATGGGGTTTATAATCATCATTTTGAGATTTCAAAACTAAATCACACAAGTCCTTTTTGTTGCCAGGGATACCATCTGGGAGCAGGACCTCTTCTGACACACGCAGCTCGGGAGATGGCCAAGCAAAGTCACTATGACAACATCCGTCAGCTTTTGGATTGTATGGTCAAGGGTAACCTTGGTGACGATGACACAGTGGATGAACTGGTGGGGGCGTGTATCCTTGTTATCTCAGATAACCCTAATGAGGTAGGCTTTATTGATGACAGTGATCACTGTTATGTTGATAACTCTAGATCTATTCTGGTAGTTTTTAGTTTAAAATTCATGTCATTGGCATTTTGGTGTACTTTAATTATAGTCATTCAATTTGATTTTCAAGAATATTTTCAATATAATCAACCTTGTGTTTAATTAGCAGCACTGCTAAATATTATTTACATCTGTTAGCACAGATACAGGTTGTGATTTCAGTTATTGTTTGTGTTTGTATTTAAAATGAAAAATTAAGCTTGATGGGTCTGCACTGATCTTGATTTGTCTTTACTTTTGTCAGGCAAAAGAAGCAGAGAACCTGATCAAGCTCCTGAGGAAGGACACCAATAAGGTATCTATCTAAAATACAAAACCAGCTTATGTCATTTGCCTCTATCTCAGGGTACACTGACATTATATGTTGTACAATCAACAAAACTTACGTAGATCTAGCACTGATGACAGAGTTGCACTGTTGTGTATGTGGATCCTGGTGTTGTTCCATGGCTAGCTTATATTGGTCATCTATAAATATAGATAGATATGGATATGGTTTGGCTGATTATTTATCCTGATCTAACATTAAATCTGAAGTACTAGATTTATGTAAAATATATAAGACTGTATTGCGCTTTAACTACCAGTCTGAATATGTATTTGTAGAAATTATGATATTGAGGTTTTTGATATATCCCTAAGGAATTGAATTGGAAATCCTTTGACAAGACAGAATCTTAATGGGGACCAATGTTGTGTTTTTAGATCAATGCATACATCCTATGTGGGAAGCTGCGGTCAGCCTACCTAATGGCAGTGAAGTCTGAGAGAGTGGACGATGTCCAGCGTATAGCTGGGGCAGCACAACGTATGGGACAGACAGCCGTCAAAAACATCTGTAACAAGTGGCTTCAACAAAGGAAGTAGCTGTTACCAAGGGAAATCACTCCAGACATACCTAGTTCAAGGAAAGGATCAGTGATAAATAATAAGATGTAGCAGATGACATCGTTGACTAGTATTTGAGTTTAGCAATACATATTTATTGACTGTTAAAATACTGCATTGTATACACAGGAGGAAGTCTTTTTAAACTTAAAATTTGTATGCTTTGCTTGTGTTATATCAGACATGATTCTTCTAAATAGGTTCTTATATTTATTTACATACCTGCGTATTGTACAGAGTACAATGTGACCTACACATCAGATTGTTTGTGTTGTGATAGTATATTACCTCTGTGAAGCTATTTTATAGTAATTATTAACTCGTTAATGTTACAGTTTACCTACTCACACTGAATTTGTTTTTATGTCGTATTTGAAGTTCACAAGTCTATACAGCTCGGTGAATATATTCAGATAATGTATGTGAAATTCACATTTAATCAGCCTCAAAGGTAGAATGTATATCGTATAGTAGACGTCCTGTGTTGTTTACAAATGTCCACTGTACAAGTAATGTGAAGTAAGGTTGTGATACTATAATGTACAATTATAATTTTTAACGCACTTCAGGTGAAGACTAATTACATCTGTACTAATTATAATAATAAGATGAAACTTGCTTGTGTTTGCTAAGCTATATATGCATGAATTTTAAATTATTCGTATTATATGAAGCAACATTGAATTAAATAGAACCCACTGTACTGTGTATGCCATAAGCAGAGGGTGTAGTAATACTTAGTCTAACTGGCTTATAGAAGGTCTAACTAGTCTATAGAAAGTCTAACTGGCCTATAGAAAGTCTAACTAGTCTATAGAAAGTCTAACTGGCCTATAGAAAGTCGAACTAGTCTATAGAAAGTCTGACTGGCCTATAGAAATTTTAACTAGTCTATAGAAAGTTTAACTGGCCTATAGAAAGTCTAACTGGCTTATAGAAAGTCTAACTGGCTTATAGAAAGTCTAACTAGTCTATAGAAAGTCTAACTAGTCTATAGAAAGTGTTACTAGTCTATAGAAAGTTTAACTGGCTTAAAGAAAGTATAACTAGTCTAAAGAAAGTATAACTGGCCTATAGAAAGTTTGCTTTGTGTATTTCCTTTTCAATTGAAGTATGGCTCATTTTAAATTAGACCTAGTCTATAATTACAAACCATTCCAACATAATGATGTCCCTACTAGTATGCTGAGTCCTCGATCAATTGCTGACATCATACCTATTACAATGTGCTGAAACCCCGGTCTTTATTTATTGTTGCGTCGCCATGTTTGTGCCAAATATAAGTTATGTCTATAGTGCAATTCTGTCAAATCAATAGGCCAGTGTCACTAAATCAAGGTTAGTATTTAGTCATCATAGCATGTACATTGCAATCTTGTCAGCACTGGCTGTAAGTGTGATTTGGGGGAAGTATACTAGTATAGCTGTAAGTGTTATTTGGGGGGAGTATACTTGTATAGCTGTAAGAGTGATTTGGGGGGAGTATCCTTGTATAGCTGTAAGTGTGATTTGGGGGGGGTATACTTGTATAGCTGTAAGTGTGATTTGGGGAAAGTATACTAGTATAGCTGTAAGTGGGATTTGGGGGGAGTATACTAGTTTAGCTGTAAGTGTTATTTGGGTGAAGTATACTAGTATAGCTGTAAGTGTGATTGGGGGGAGGATACTAGGATAGCTGTAAGTGTGATTTGGGGGGAGTATACTAGTATAGCTGTTAGTGTGATTTGGGGGAGTATACTAGTATAGCTGTAAGTGTGATTTGGGGGGAGTATACTTGTATAGCTGTAAGTGTGATTTGGGGGGAGTATACTAGTTTAGCTGTAAGTGTGATTTGGGTGAAGTATACTAGTATAGCTGTAAGTGTGAATTGAGGTGTGCATACTTGTATAGCTGTAAGTGTGATTTGGGGGAAGTATACTAGTATAGCTGTTAGTGTGATTTGGAGGGAGTATACTAGTATAGCTGTTAGTGTGATTTGGGGGGAGTATACTAGTATAGCTGTTAGTGTGATTTGGGGGAAGTATACAAGTATAGCTGTTAGTGTGATTTGGGGGAGGTATACAAGTATAGCTGTTAGTGTGAATTGAGTGAAGTATACTAGTATAGCTGTAAGTGCGATTTGGGGGGAGTATACTAGTATAGCTATTAGTGTGAATTGAGGTGCACATACGAGTTTAGCTGTTAGTGTGATCTGGGTGAAGTATACTAGTATAGCTGTTAGGGTGATTTGGGGGAAGTATACTAGTATAGGTGTAAGTGTGATTTGGGGGGAGTATACTAGTATAGCTGTTAGTGTGATTTGGGGGAAGTATACTTGTATAGCTGTAAGTGTGATTTGGGTGAAGTATACTAGTATAGCTGTTAGTGTGATTTGGGGGAAGTATACTAGTATAGCTGTAAGTGTGATTTGGGGGGAGTATACTAGTATAGCTGTTAGTGTGAATTGAGGTGCACATACGAGTTTAGCTGTTAGTGTGATTTGGGTGAAGTATACTAGTATAGCTGTTAGTGTGATTTGGGGGAAGTATACAAGTATAGCTGTTAGTGTGAATTGAGTGAAGTATACTAGTATAGCTGTAAGTGTGATTTGGTTGAAGTATACAAGTATAGCTGTAAGTGTGATTTGGGGGAAGTATACTAGTAAAGCTGTAAGTGTGAATTGATGTGTGCATACTAGTATAGCTGTTAGTGTGATTTTGGGGAAGTATACTAGTATAGCTGTAAGTGTGAATCGAGTGAAGTATACTAGTATAGCTGTGAGTGTGAATTGAGTGAAGTATACTTGTTTAGCTGTAAGTGTGAATTGAGTGAAGTATACTAGTATAGCTGTAAGTGTGAATTGAGTGAAGTATACTTGTTTCGCTGTAAGTGTGAATTGATCGAAGTATACTACTATAGCTGTAAGTAGGAATTGAGGGAAGTATACTAGTATAGCTGTAAGTGTGAATTGAGTGAAGTATACTACTATAGCTGTAAGTAGGAAGTGAGGGAAGTATACTAGTATAGCTGTAAGTAGGAAGTGAGTGAAGTATACTAGTATAGCTGTAAGTGTGAATTGAGTGAAGTATACTTGTATAGCTGTAAGTAGGAAGTGAGTGAAGTATACTACTATAGCTGTAAGTAGGAAGTGAGTGAAGTATACTTGTTTCGCTGTAAGTAGGAAGTGAGTGAAGTATACTTGTATAGCTGTAAGTGTGAATTGAGGGAAGTATACTAGTAAAGCTTTAAGTAGGAAGTGAGGGAAGCATACAAACATAGCTCAAGGAAATGTGGCAAGCTCTACATATCAAGGTAAAAGCTGACAGTACCAGGCCAGCCTCCTCCCCCTTAATTTAGTGAAATATTAAATCATGAAACATATATTCTGACTAATTAAATTTTCATTTCCTTTTTATAATATTCATATTGATTCTTGTATTGTATTGGAGTAAGAACAACATTTGAAGGGAGGGTGGTTAAATTGTGGCCAACGTTAATCCTGGGGTTAGATAATCCTATGATGATGTCACTCTAGAGCTATCATTGTGTGGGTTATCACAGACAGAACACCTATGTATAAAGCCTAGTTTTTATTCAATCATAAAGTTAATTAGTAATAATTCATTTATATTGTATCCAAGGGTAATATACAGAAGTAAATGTAATATCTGATTCTGAGAGTATAACACTGTAATAAATACTGTCTGAGGGTATTATTCTGCAATTATTGTTATATCTGATAGTATAACACTGTACTACATGTTATATCTGATAGTATAACACTGTAATAAATGTTATATCTGATAGTATAACACTGTGATAGTATTACACTGTAATAAATGTTATGTGTGACGGTGTAACATTGTAATACATGTTATATCTGATAGTATAACACTAATAAATATTATGTCTGACGGTATAACATTGTAAATACATGTTATATCTGATAGTATAACTAATAAATATTATGTCTGAGGGTATAATATTATAAATACATGTTATATCTGATAGTTATATAGGAGGGTATTACACTGTAATAAAGAATACTTGAGTTTGTTAAGCTGTTAGAGTATATTACACTGTATTAGAATGTGATAGCTGAGGATATATCTGAGGGTATAATTCTGTAATATCTGACGGTATTACCATAAATAAATGTTATATTCCAGGGTATTACACTATAAAAATGTGTATGTGAAGGTATTCCATCAGAATGCTGAATCAGATATTTATTAAAGCGGCAAATGCTATTAAATGTACATACTAATATTTATGACTTATCTGTGATAAACATTATCAAAATAAATTGTATTTGTTGTCTTATCAATTTCATATTCATCCAAACATAAAGCTCATGCAGCATATGAAATTAATTTAAGAGACGGTTCAGTCTAATGTACATATGTGCCAATATGGCAAAAACTAAAAATTGACAGAATACATGCTAATATAGCATAATCTAAAACAACAATACAAACATTTATGAAACAATAATTAGGAATTTACAGCATAAAAAAGAAAAATTACACAAAAGAAAGTAAGCAGCCAAAAAGTCAATCTTTCATCTTTGTACAGATGGAACATGTACATATAGTGGGACCATCCCAGGTGTGGACCAGCCTCCGGAATTCTGGGAAGTATTCATATCTCTGCAATTCGTTTGGAAGACTGTTCCACACCCCGGCCACCTCAAAGGAGAATGATTTCTGTCTATACCTTGTAGTTTTTACAGATGGGATGCTGACTGTCAAGTCCCTTCTGAAATCATAAGCAGATTCCTTAAGTTTTACCAAGTCAAGTATATATAATCAGGAGAAATCTTGTGTAGTATTTCAAAAACTTCATAGCCCATATCTTTTAGCCTCTTAACATGTAAAAGAGTACTATTTGTAGATTTTAAAAGCTGACTAAAAGATGAGACATAATATCACTCTCCACGAATCTCCTGCACCCTCCTGAATCTTTTTCATCTTTCTCACACTTCTCAAGCTAGTAAAATCAGTAGGCAGAAATGAAAACTGGATATAATAAAAGAATTGTATATGATTCTCCTACCTTGTTTTGTTAAAATGCCCCCAATTCTTTTAAGAAGTCTAGAATCCTTTAAGCAAGACATGTGTATCAAAATTTAAAGATGAGTCAAAATTAACACCAAGTAACTTCCTTTCAATAGGAAAGTGATATGCTTTAAGTATATCCCCATAGGTCACCTAAATGTTTCTGAGCTGTCAGCTTCACACAATCAAATAGGGTGCTCCAATGATATTCCATTAGAAAATGCATTTTCGTTTACAAGTACTAAACTGTTTTTATTTTACTAAAACAACTATTGCTATTTACACGAAATTGGATGGAATTTCAATAGACAGCCTTACAGAAAATGAAATAACAATAGCTCTGTTGGATTACAAAACTCTTAATTCGAATCTCCGACAAAACGCCTTGCTATACTCCAACCCAGGTTCGAACTCCCAGCCAACACAAGGAGGGAAATGAACACCCTTTGTAACAGAGAGTAGTGTGCTTCCGCCGGGGATCGAACCAGTGACCCATAGCTTCCCAGTACCTCGCTTTGCCAAATAGCATCTGACGCGCCTTCTAAAGTTTGAACTTTCTATGAAATCTACGGCGGTGGATATTTTAATCATCATGATATGACCATGCAACGACAAAGTTGACTTAAAAATTTCAAAAAAAGAAATTTCAATTCAATAGGTTTTTTTTAGTATAGAGATTAAACAGAATTTGAAAGTGCCCGTTGATATATTTTAGACAACTGTTTGGATATATGAAGAACTAAAATAAGAAAAATCCAAACCGGTACATTTTAAGTTCAGATCAGTCTCTATAACTTTACCAAAATATCCCTATTTACGCGAGCTTTACTTCTCAAAACTCCTGGTCAGTGTTGTAGATCGTGTTACAATGGCTACATTATGCAATATTAATGACCAACACTAGTTGCGCGTTTTGTCAGCAATCGAGTCTGCATCAGACCTACTTAACTTCTACTTGTCGATATGATTACAAAGATAAACACAAGCTCGTTTAGTGTTTATCTTTGTAATCATATCAACGTTAAATAAAATTTATAAAATAAAAGATCGGGACCGTAACCCTACGTGCAGTTAAAACCAACTGCATACATAACGGTCACAATTTGCATGGGTGTTTTCATCGTAGTAGGAACGAGACATGTCTAAATACTCCAATATCAATTTGTGTCTTTTTGGGGAAGAGACATTGGCAGATTTAAGTAGAAAATTAAATGCGTTTTCTTCGAGTATCAATAGAGCTTCTTGAGAGGTATGGTTGGTCCTTTAAGGACCGTTAGATATAAGATAGTGTGTCGGTTTACGTCAGCAAATTCTACTTCTTTGAAGAGGATTTCTTTGACTTGGCTTTAGCTGCTTTTTTAACCTTGGGTTTAGCTACCTTTTTGACTTTGGGTTTTGTCGCTCTTTTCGCCTTTTTTGGAGACTTCTTGGGCTTCTTAGTCGACTTCTTCGCAGCTTTTTTGGGCGATTTTGCCTTCTTAGGTTTCTTGGTCTTCTTTGCAGTGGCCTTCTTGACCTTCTTTGCCTTTTTAGCCTTCTTTTTCTTGGGTGTCTTTGGTTTCTTAGCTGCTGGTTTGCCAATTCGGAATCTACCAGTAGCCCCAGTGGCAGTAGATCCCTTGGGTCTCACCAGTGCTCCAGTCTTTAGTCCACGAACCAAAGCAATCCTGATAGACGAGGATACCCTGGTCGCGGTGATGAACTTGCTGTAGTTGGCCATTATGTATTTTCTGATGGCCTGGACGGACGATCCCTTCTTGTCCTTCATAGCTTTAATAGCGGTAACGACCATCGACAATGTCGTGGGCTTGGTTACTCCTCCCTTTACTAGTTTCTTCTTGGCCTTCTTCGGTGACGCTTTTGGCGAAGCTACCTTCACTGGAGAATAACTCCTGCTTCTGCTTCTCGTATTCTTTCTTGGACTTACTGCCATGGTGCCGTGGATTTGAGTTTCTCAAGGAAAATAACAAATATAGCCAATACACAGTTTTCTCGTTGTAATATAGTCTTTACTCGAACCTGACCGAAGACGCCCCTTGGTACACGCGCCGTGGAAAGTTGTTGTGGCGGTAAACTTGTGTTTGTCTTTAAATATTTATTTCAAAATAACAACAAATTTTTCATCAAATTTTATAAAAAAAAAACATAAATAAAAGAAAGAGAGTGCAAACGAAAAGAAATTGTGTTAATTTGTCAAAAATGTTTATTCATTTCATTGAAAAATGTTCTGAAACATGGCAAAAAACGTAAACTTGTCAACAACTTTATCAAATATTTGTTTAAAATCTATTTTGAAATGAACAAAAATTGAAATGTTTTATATTTTCCCGCAATATGTATACCAATTTAAGTATATATATATACATTTCCCCTTTCACGCGCTCATTCACTGTTTAATTTCATTCTGAAATATGGACTAGAAACACAGCATCGGGTGTAATTCTGCATCGGCCATGTTGTTTCCGTAGTAGGCCATCTTCATTTATCTATGTCAGAATAAAAGAACAATAAAATGATTCTAGATCTACTTAATGATAAGTAGATCATACATCCACAGTATTACCATATTGCTTCTGGAGTCAAATATTTTGAACCTAACGGTCGATCACTGAATGAACATAACAGGCTAATAATGGGCCTACTTTATCAGGTATTTGCACTTTTTATTTAAAAGGTAAGTTGAAGGAAGTACATATCAATACAAAGCAACGTTAACAATAATGTTCGAAATATATAATGACATTATCCTAAATGTATCTAATAGCTGGTGCATCATTATGAAACAAGCAAAGCCACTTTAAAGATCGAGGTTATCAACGTTATTGCTTGGGTGTTTTATTTAGCTAACGGATAAGATTAACTGAGTAGAAATGGATTTGAAAAATCATCTTCTAATAAGGTTAACAACGTTAAAAACAATGGTGAACGTAATGACCCAAAAGAAATGTATACAAGTTCAAGTTCAATTTGTTTATTTAAGTGTCACATATCACAATTACATTTATGTTCATTAATACATATAAAATACTTGTACAAAATATAAATCAATTCCATTGGTACATATAAAATACTTGCAGTTGGCTGTTTCCTAGAACTTAAAATAGTTTGTTTAACATAAAAAAAACCCACTTGTAATAGGGATCAATATCGACATTAGATTATTGTGAGACTACCCTGCTTATTATTATCAACATGTAGGTTGCAGTGACTCAAAGTGCGCTACCTTAGGGTTGGGGAGAGCCCTACCAGCGAAGACAGGTCGCTCTGCGCCCCTGCAATCATACGATGTAACTTTAATTTTTTTTTTTTTTTTTTTTTTTTTATTTTTTTTTATCAGTCTAAAAATAAATAAATAACAGGTTAAAAGTAATTGAGAAATCGATTGGCTCCAAGCGGTTGGGGAGAGCTCTACCGGCGAGGGCTTCTCGAGGTCCCTTCTTAAGGTTTCATTTAATAGTTTAAAACACGGTTAAAAGGGCAAATTTTTAGTATTGATCAATAATTAACAAATTAAATAATATTTCAAGGTCTATGACCTATGGTTATAACATACGTATGGTAAGGTGTATAAGCTCTAGTAAGAAAAGACACATGGAGCTTAGGCTATTTATTTACAAAAGATTAAAAAAAAATGGGCATACAATGAATAGACCTAAAATAAAGAGAAAGTGAGAAACAACAATCTGTGCTAATTTCTCTAATCAGTGTTGGGACAAGTTTTGGAGAACAGACCGTTTTTGGGTATAGCCCAAAAAATATTGACCAGTATCAAGAAGAATTCACATCCTCCAAAAAATGAAAAAACATAGCGTCTACAGGGATCAAACTGATCGCCGGAAAACTACACTCCACATCCTGTTATGATTTACTTAATTATGTTACAAAAATAAACATTTTATGGTACCAACTTTATTTCTCTTATGTCCGCGGATGTCTAGAATTTAATTATATTCTTCGAAACTCATATTTTTTTTCGGGTCTGAATTCATTCATGGTCAATGTTGGGCCCCATTGTAACTTCTTTGTTAGGCGTGCATCTAGGACCTACTACAAAAGCCAAGAAAAACCCTAGCAAAACTTTCACTATTAAAATCGACTGAATTACAATTTACATTTCCAATCGAATTCCTAAGCTGATTAAATATCAAAGCTTACTCTTTTATAAAACCGTACTCTTCGTTTGTTTACAGGATTTATGTTAAAAGGAACAACAATTCCGTCTTTGCGTATTGTAGAGTTATCTTCTCTTGTGAGCAGGCATTGTTTGTTACGTCATTGGTTTGTGTGAGAAAATTACGTCGTTTACTCAAAAAATGATGACGATACTCTCTCAAACAAATGACGTAACAATCAATACCTGCTCACAAGAGCAGATAACTCTGCAATACGAAAAGACGGAATACAAGTAACACAATCTTCAGGATGAGTAAAATACTCAGTAAACTGAGGAGTCTGTGCAGGACAAATAATCTGCCAAAATTGGATCTAGCAAACTAGATTTACTAGTACCTATTCGTATAGGTTCACTTAAATTAAAAAAAAACGAACAAACAATTTCACAAAACCATATTGCAATATTATTTCATCGCCAAACAACTTCAACCAATCACAATAATATGTAATCTGATATTAATCACTCTTTTAGTTAGATTAGCCCGGTAAACGACGTCATCACTTTTGGTGCTTTGATGCTGCCTTTTCTTAGATTAAATTATATAACCTGAAAAAGTTGGGAGATAAGTTAAAATTCAAATTGTTTGAAATAGAGTACATGTCTACTGTCAAGATGTACCAGGTTTATCGTGAACGGTGCACTTTGTTCGCGGTAGACTGTAGGCTATATCCTGATAATAGACGTTATATTCAGATCTTCTATCTCCTGTGCTTCAGCACAGTGTTGTGTCTAGTTAGAGTTGTCTCCCGTACATTCTTTAATCTTCGTTAAGTAAACATGACCGTTATCTGAACTAGTCACAGTGCGACAGCATTAAGATAGCTGTCCTACTCGAGGTGTTAGCTTGTGATAAGCTGGCCAATTTGTAAGAGTATAAAACAAGCACTGCCTGATAATCTGATCAGCCAGTTATAACATTGTAGAATCTAGGTGCAATGAGCGTCGCAACCATCACACAGGACAATTTTGGGAAGACCAAGGACGGTCAGGATGTGAACAGGTAACTTTTATCCAGTGGTCTGGTTTTGGTTTTGGTTTGGTTTTATTTAGTTAAGCGTTCTATTATTTAAGAACGTGCCTCCATATGTGTAATGTATGTGTGCTGGAGGCTGTATGTCGGTGTATTTGTCCTCTTGAGATAGCGGGGATCTGATGCCGACTTTAGAGTGCTTCCTCATTGAAAAAACATGCTGAAGGCATCCGACATAGCAACTGGTTAACCATTACCCGAAATGGTGAATAACCATTTAAGGCCTACTGTTAGTCGTGGACTTGGGACATAACCATTTGCCTTCCTCACTTCGACGAATGCTTAAAAGAATAAGGCCAAAAGTAAGGTATTGTCCAGCAAAGTGTAAGGGAACAAGAAAGAGTCGTTAGGAATCAGAGAGAAAATAGATTAAATGTTGCAATGTTAAGTGTTGTGTTATTAGTAAATGAGGTCGACGTGACAGTGCTTTGGTCCTGATGCTCACGTATTCTGTCGGTACTGTTTTTGACTTACTATAAAGTTTACATATATATGGCGACATTGACCTTTATGATTTATAGGTTCACTTTCACCAACAAGAACAACGTCACTGTCAGAGTGCTTGACTATGGCTGCATCATCACTGAAATCCTTGTCCCAGATAAGAACGGAGAGGTCAAGGACGTCAACCTCGGCTTCGACGGCATGGAAGGTAAAGTTGTTTGACACTCTCTGTTTAAGTGTACGTCATTTCAGGTAACCTGACATGCTCTATAAGTTCACGTTTATATATCGTCATAACATGTTATGCTCTAATGACGTGTACATTGTACGTCATAACAGGTTACCAGACACACTCTCCTTACAGGTACGTCCTTAAACAGGTTACCTGACACCATGGACACACTCTCCTTACAGGTACGTCCTTATACAGGTTACCTGACACCATGGACACACTCTACTTACAGGTACGTCCTTATACATGTTACCTGACACCATGGACACACTCTCCTTACAGGTACGTCAATAAACAGGTTATATGACACCATGGACACACTATCCTTACAGGTACGTCCTTATACAGGTTACCTGACACCATGGACACCCTCTCCTTACAGGTACGTGCTTATACAGGTTACCTGACATCATGGACACACTCTACTTACAGGTACGTCCTTCTACAGGTTACCTGACACAATGGACCCCCTCTCCTTACAGGTACGTAAATAAACAGGTTATATGACCCCATGGACACACTATCCTTACAGGTACGTCCTTAAACAGGTTACCTGACACCATGGACACACCCTCCTTACAGGTACGTCCTTATACAGGTTACCTGACACCATGGACCGTGCATGTTCTTATGTCTACATAATTACAGGTTAAACATGACATGCTTTATTTACGTTTACAGGGTATCTGACGCGCTCTCCTTATTTTGGGGCTGTTTGTGGCCGGGTGGCCAACCGAATAGCGGGTGGAAAGTTCTCGCTAGACGGTCAAGAGTTTCAACTTCCGGTCAACAATGGCCTCAACTGCCTTCATGGTGGTGTCAAAGGTTTCGACAAGGTAATGACTGGTACAGCCACTTAAAGCTTATGGACAGATCTTTGAAACTAAATATCATTTAGTATTTTCGAAACTGAAATTATACCTATGGTTTGCGTTAGAGTTATCTCCCTTTGTTTTATTAAATAGCAGTTGACGTGCTAAAACTGTATTAAATAAGTTATCTTTGCATATAACAGTGATGTAATGGATATCAAGTTAAGGTGCTATTTGACAGCAATATGTACATTATACTCCGTTTGGGTACTGCTATGCTTCTCCGTTATTATTTAAGGTGATTTGGGACACCACTGTTGATGGTGACCGTCTTTTCTTGCGTTACGTCAGTGCTGACAATGAAGAAGGCTTCCCAGGGGAGGTAACCACGACAGTATCGTACAGACTGTCAGATGACAACGTGTTTTCTATCGAGTACACGGCCACGACAACGAAAGCCACGCCCATCAACCTTACCAACCACTCTTACTTCAACCTCGCTGGCCAGGTAATTGAGCTCCATCCTCGAAAATTGACTTACGTTCTCCCCACTCCTGGAGTATGTCATGGTGAGACGGAAGGCTCTGTATGCGCCACTCTGTGGATGATATAAGTAGAAAAGTTTTTTTTTTATGTAAATCAAAAGAATCGCGCGGCATCATAACTTTACCAGTTTAAAGTCGTGTATCACTCCCCTCTACCCACAACAGGACAGAAATCAACTTGGCGATTAGTCATTTTTTTAAACCTAAAAATAATGCTTGCATCCAATAAAATGGCTTTGTTCGAACCTTCGATTTTTTTCACGATATATTCCAGGCGCGAAGAGAACGAAATCCATGGAAGTTTTGCATCCTTGATACTCAAGGAGTTACGCCCACTTACGCTTTCTGTAAAGAGCGTAAGTGAGCGTAACACTGCAGAATGAGGATCGAAATTTCGAGGGTATGGCATGTCAAACGTTGCAAAATTGTTGATTAATATGACGGAAATACACATCGAACTGGAATTTGAATTAAAAAGAAATCAACATTTGCAATGAATAAATAACACTTGAATTAATAAGACATTTCAACTTAAGAAAAACAGCAACAAATTAAAAACGTTTAAGTTAAAAAAAATCGAATTTGAAAATCGAATTCCAAAACTATGCTTTTGAATTTCATTTAAAAAAAAAAAAAAATCATATTCAAGTCAATAATCCCAATGTATAATGTCAATAAAAAATCATACTGAAAGACGTTGTTTTTTATTAGGTCACCTGAGCTTTGCTCAAGTGACCTGTTCCGATCACTTTCCGTCCGTTGTTGTCCTTCGTGCGTCGTGCGTAAACTTTTTACATTTTCAAATTCTTCTCAAGAACCAGTGGATGGAATTATTTCAAACTTGGTCAGAATCATCCTTGGTAGATGAGGCTTGGGATTCCTACCCTAACCCCCTCGGGCGAGGGTGGGAATTAACCAATATTTAAAAAATCTTCTCCAGACTCAGAGGTACTACAGGCAATTTCAGTGCATGGATAGAAAGATCATCAGGGGCTTTATTAAAATTGTAAATTTCAGGACCCCCGGGTCATCCATTCTCCCGGTGGGAGGGGGTACAGTTTATTATAGTTTATATAGGGAGACAACACTTTTGGGTATATTTTTACAATTTTCTGTAGGAACTTATTCTTACTTGGTGATAATTATCCTTGGAGGAAGATGGTTTAAAATATAAAATTGGGATTCCTACCCCAACCCCAGGGGTCAGGGGGGCCCCAAAGGGAAAATTTACCAATATTTCAAAAATCTTCTCCAGACTCAGAGGTACTACAGGCAATTTTAGTGCATGGATAGAAAGATCATCAGGGGCTTTATTGAAATTGTCAATTTCAGGACCCCTGAGCCATCCGTTCCCTCTTGGGGAGGGGTTAAAGTTTACTTTAGTTTATATAGGGAAATAACACTTTTGGGTATAGTTTGTCCATTTTCAGTAGAAAATTATTCAAACTTGGTCGGAATCATCTTTGGTGGCTGAGGGTATTACATTGTAAAATTGGAATTCATGGGGCTAGGGCGGGGCCCCAAAGGGAACATTTACCAATATTTTAAAATTTCTATCCTTTGATGACAGGACAAGTATTGTATTTCACTTAGTTTACATGCTGATTTCCACATCACATCTAAACAATAAAATAAAGCTACCAGTACCTATGATATAACTCAGGTGACCGCTAAGGCCCTTAGGCCTATTGTTTAATATGCATTGGTTCTAAAGTAATTTGCTGAGTATTGCATTTTATTATTTATTTTTAATTTAGATGCCTAAATTCTTGAATTAAAATCATTGTGTATACTTCCTTTTTTTCAATTCAAATATATGTTTGCAGTTTGGCAACATTGAAATGATATACGTTATTGCGTGTCGATGGTTTTTTGTGTTAATTACGTACTATAACACGACTGTTTAACAACTGAATGAGTTAACTTCAATTGTCGGTGTACCTGTCAGGTAGTATACAATGTAAAATCCCAGTGATAACTCCACTCAGTGCGAAACTACTATTGACCAGGTCTACCTACAATGGGCAAACATACGGAATGTGTACAACAGTTTGTTTTATGTACAATAGGGAACGCAGAATTTAGATGGTCACGTGATACAGCTACTCGGGGACCACTATACTCCTTTGAATGAAAACATCATCCCTACAGGTAAGCAATATTCTCAACAGAGAACAACGTTACATGTAACATTCTAGGGGTATAGACGAAATTTCAAAATAAGATTTTTTCGTTGAAATGTCCTGCCTTACAAACATCCCGTTAGGTAAACGTCATTTACAAGTTACAGGAAGGTGTAGAAAACCCATAAAATTACCACTCTATTTCACTCATTAGGTCTTAGCAAAATATCAGGACATACCTGGACAACCAAAAGCTCGTGTCTCCTCTCCAACACAGCTTCCATCCAAACCTAACTGCGAAAGCCAGTTTATTTCCATCACTTGGGATATATTAAACCACAGGGACCTGAGAATTTGTTACATCTATAGTTGGACCTACACTGAGGTGTTCAGAGTAATTTTTTTTACATGTTTTAGGGGTTTTGATCGACTTTCAGTAAAAAAATGACACCACCAATGATCATAATTATATACGAGAAGGGCGGAATGCTCTCGATGTCGAAATGTTGACTCCTCGGGCCACCTTTCTTGCATCAAACACAACATTTTTAGTTGATCTACGGAAAATGCTTAGTACCATTGAAAGATGGATATCTTTTCTTATAAAAACCTCCTGTATGCATCTAAAATGCATTCTCCTTCCGCGGACATTATCTCCGTTTCCTCCAAAAACACACCCTTTCAGAGCTTCAAAGTTTTCGCTGTGATCGTGCCACTTTTTAGTATACTAATGAGGTCAGCCGCTCTCGATAGCCTTTGATAAAGTTGACCACCAACGACAAAAAAAATGCTGAATCTACTACATTCCTAGTTTTGTCTGGTGTGTCTCAAGGGTCTGTTCTGAGCCCGTGCATTTTTTGATACATAAACTCTCACTTCTATGACGTAGGTGAAGTGGCCCCGGTGATGGGAACCCCAATGGATCTCCGAAAGCCAGTGTCTGTCCCTGAGAGGATGAAAGAGGTCAACGGTGGCCTTGGGTTCGACCACAACTTTTGTGTTGGGGAAGGAGCCAAGCTTAAGTTCGTCGCCAGGTAACAATAAAAACCAATTAACTAAATAATTACACACGGGAAGGTATACTAAATTATAACCGTTTTGTTGAGTCAAACGTTTATAAGCGGGATCGACAATTAATGCAGTCGATATAATTAAACATATAGGTGTTGTTTTATTGTACTATAGTTAATGTAACTTGGGAGGGGTCGTGACATTTTGCTAACGTCCAGTTACTGTTACCTATGAGAGGTCGTGACATTGTGCTAACGTCCAGTTACTGTTACCTGTGAGAGGTCGTGACATTGTGTTAGCGTCCAGTTACTGTTACCTGTGAGAAGTCGTGACATTTTGTTAGCGTCCAGTTACTGTTACCTGTGAGAGGTCGTGACATTGTGTTAGCGTCCAGTTACTGTTACCTGTGAGAGGTCGTGACATTGTGTTAGCGTCCAGTTACTGTTACCTGTGAGAGGTCGTGACATTGTGTTAGCGTCCAGTTACTGTTACCTGTGAGAGGTCGTGACATTGTGTTAGCGTCCAGTTACTGTTACCTGTGAGAGGTCGTGACATTGTGTTAGCGTCCAGTTACTGTTACCTGTGAGAGGTCGTGACATTGTGTTAGCGTCCAGTTACTGTTACCTGTGAGAGGTCGTGACATTGTGTTAGCGTCCAGTTACTGTTACCTGTGAGAGGTCGTGACATTGTGTTAGCGTCCAGTTACTGTTACCTGTGAGAGGTCGTGACATTGTGTTAGCGTCCAGTTACTGTTACCTGTGAGAGGTCGTGACATTGTGTTAGCGTCCAGTTACTGTTACCTGTGAGAGGTCGTGACATTGTGTTAGCGTCCAGTTACTGTTACCTGTGAGAGGTCGTGACATTGTGTTAGCGTCCAGTTACTGTTACCTGTGAGAGGTCGTGACATTGTGTTAACGTCCAGTTACTGTTACCTGTGAGAGGTCGTGACATTGTGTTAACGTCCAGTTACTGTTACCTGTGAGAGGTCGTGACATTGTGTTAACGTCCAGTTACTGTTACCTGTGAGAGGTCGTGACATTGTGTTAACGTCCAGTTACTGTTACCTGTGAGAGGTCGTGACATTGTGTTAACGTCCAGTTACTGTTACCTGTGAGAGGTCGTGACATTGTGTTAACGTCCAGTTACTGTTACCTGTGAGAGGTCGTGACATTGTGTTAACGTCCAGTTACTGTTACCTGTGAGAGGTCGTGACATTGTGTTAACGTCCAGTTACTGTTACCTGTGAGAGGTCGTGACATTGTGTTAACGTCCAGTTACTGTTACCTGTGAGAGGTCGTGACATTGTGTTAACGTCCAGTTACTGTTACCTGTGAGAGGTCGTGACATTGTGCTAACGTCTAGCTATTGTTACCTGTGAGAGGTCGTGACATTGTGTTAACGTCTAGCTATTGTTACCTGTGAGAGGTCGTGACATTGTGTTAACGTCCAGTTACTGTTACCTGTGAGAGGTCGTGACATTGTGCTAACGTCTAGCTATTGTTACCTGTGAGAGGTCGTGTGTGCTAACGTCTAGTTACTGTTACCTGTGAGAAGTCGTGACATTGTGTTAACGTCCAGTTACTGTTACCTGTGAGAGGTCGTGAAGTTGTGCTAACGTCTAGTTATTGTAACCTGTGAGGGGTCGTGACATTGTGTTAACGTCTAGCTATTGTTACCTGTGATGGGTCGTGACATTGTGCTAACGTCCAGTTACTGTTACCTGTCAGGGGTCGTGACATTGTGCTAACGTCTAGCTATTGCTACCTGTGAGGGGTCGTGACATTGTGCTAACGTCCAGTTACTGTTACCTGTGAGGGGTCGTAACATTGTGCTAACGTCTAGCTATTGTTACCTGTGAGAGGTCGTGACATTGTGTTAACGTCTAGCTATTGTTACCTGTGAGGGGTCGTGACATTGTGCTCACGTCTAGCTATTGTTACCTGTGAGAGGTCGTGACATTGTGCTAACGTCAAGTTACTGTTACCTGTGAGAGGTCGTGACATTGTGCTAACGTCCAGTTACTGTTACCTGTGAGGGGTCGTGATATTGTGCTAACGTCTAGTTACTGTTACCTGTGAGGGGTCGTGATATTGTGCTCACGTCTAGTAACTTTTTCCTGTGACAGGGTTGAACATGTCCCATCAGGACGTGTTATGGACGTCAGTACTACAGAACCAGGCCTGCAATGCTACACCTCCAAAAATCTTAAACCAACACTCGGGAAAGGAGGTGTCACCTACCAAAAGTTTTCCGCTATTTGTTTGGAAGCTCAGCACTATCCCGACAGTGTCAACCATGTAAGTAACGTCCGTAACTACAGACAGTGTCTACCATGTAAGTAACGTTCATAACTACAGACAGTGTCCACCAGATAAGTAACGTCCGTAACTACAGACAGTGCCAACCAGGTAAGTAACGTCCGTAACTGCAGACAGTGTCCACCAGGTAAGTAACGTCTATAACTACAGTCAGTGTCCACCATGTAAGTAACGTCCGTAACTACAGACAGTGTCCACCATGTAAGTAACGTCCATAACTACAGACAGTGTCCACCATGTAAGTAACGTCCATAACTACAGACAGTGTCCACCATGTAAGTAACGTCCATAACTACAGACAGTGTCCACCATGTAAGTAACGTCCATAACTACAGACAGTGTCCACCATGTAAGTAACGTCCATAACTACAGACAGTGTCCACCATGTAAGTAACGTCCATAACTACAGACAGTGTCCACCATGTAAGTAACGTCCATAACTACAGACAGTGTCCACCATGTAAGTAACGTCCATAACTACAGACAGTGTCCACCATGTAAGTAACGTCCATAACTACAGACAGTGTCCACCATGTAAGTAACGTCCATAACTACAGACAGTGTCCACCATGTAAGTAACGTCCATAACTACAGACAGTGTCCACCATGTAAGTAACGTCCATAACTACAGACAGTGTCCACCATGTAAGTAACGTCCGTAACTACAGACAGTGTCCACCAGGTAAGTAACGTCCATAACTACAGACAGTGTCCACCATGTAAGTAACGTCCATAACTACAGACAGTGTCCACCATGTAAGTAACGTCCGTAACTACAGACAGTGTCCACCATGTAAGTAACGTCCGTAACTACAGACAGTGTCCACCATGTAAGTAACGTCCATAACTACAGACAGTGTCCACCATGTAAGTAACGTCCATAACTACAGACAGTGTCCACCATGTAAGTAACGTCCGTAACTACAGACAGTGTCCACCATGTAAGTAACGTCCGTAACTACAGACAGTGTCCACCATGTAAGTAACGTCCGTAACTACAGACAGTGTCCACCATGTAAGTAACGTCCGTAACTACAGACAGTGTCCACCATGTAAGTAACGTCCGTAACTACAGACAGTGTCCACCATGTAAGTAACGTCCGTAACTACAGACAGTGTCCACCATGTAAGTAACGTCCGTAACTACAGACAGTGTCCACCATGTAAGTAACGTCCGTAACTACAGACAGTGTCCACCATGTAAGTAACGTCCGTAACTACAGACAGTGTCCACCATGTAAGTAACGTCCGTAACTACAGACAGTGTCCACCATGTAAGTAACGTCCGTAACTACAGACAGTGTCCACCATGTAAGTAACGTCCGTAACTACAGACAGTGTCCACCATGTAAGTAACGTCCGTAACTACAGACAGTGTCCACCATGTAAGTAACGTCCGTAACTACAGACAGTGTCCACCATGTAAGTAACGTCCGTAACTACAGACAGTGTCCACCATGTAAGTAACGTCCGTAACTACAGACAGTGTCCACCATGTAAGTAACGTCCGTAACTACAGACAGTGTCCACCATGTAAGTAACGTCCGTAACTACAGACAGTGTCCACCATGTAAGTAACGTCCGTAACTACAGACAGTGTCCACCATGTAAGTAACGTCCGTAACTACAGACAGTGTCCACCATGTAAGTAACGTCCGTAACTACAGACAGTGTCCACCATGTAAGTAACGTCCGTAACTACAGACAGTGTCCACCATGTAAGTAACGTCCGTAACTACAGACAGTGTCCACCATGTAAGTAACGTCCGTAACTACAGACAGTGTCCACCATGTAAGTAACGTCCATAACTACAGACAGTGTCCACCATGTAAGTAACGTCCGTAACTACAGACAGTGTCCACCATGTAAGTAACGTCCGTAACTACAGACAGTGTCCACCATGTAAGTAACGTCCGTAACTACAGACAGTGTCCACCATGTAAGTAACGTCCGTAACTACAGACAGTGTCCACCATGTAAGTAACGTCCGTAACTACAGACAGTGTCCACCATGTAAGTAACGTCCGTAACTACAGACAGTGTCCACCATGTAAGTAACGTCCGTAACTACAGACAGTGTCCACCATGTAAGTAACGTCCGTAACTACAGACAGTGTCCACCATGTAAGTAACGTCCGTAACTACAGACAGTGTCCACCATGTAAGTAACGTCCGTAACTACAGACAGTGTCCACCATGTAAGTAACGTCCGTAACTACAGACAGTGTCCACCATGTAAGTAACGTCCGTAACTACAGACAGTGTCCACCATGTAAGTAACGTCCGTAACTACAGACAGTGTCCACCATGTAAGTAACGTCCGTAACTACAGACAGTGTCCACCATGTAAGTAACGTCCGTAACTACAGACAGTGTCCACCATGTAAGTAACGTCCGTAACTACAGACAGTGTCCACCATGTAAGTAACGTCCGTAACTACAGACAGTGTCCACCATGTAAGTAACGTCCGTAACTACAGACAGTGTCCACCATGTAAGTAACGTCCGTAACTACAGACAGTGTCCACCATGTAAGTAACGTCCGTAACTACAGACAGTGTCCACCATGTAAGTAACGTCCGTAACTACAGACAGTGTCCACCATGTAAGTAACGTCCGTAACTACAGACAGTGTCCACCATGTAAGTAACGTCCGTAACTACAGACAGTGTCCACCATGTAAGTAACGTCCGTAACTACAGACAGTGTCCACCATGTAAGTAACGTCCGTAACTACAGACAGTGTCCACCATGTAAGTAACGTCCGTAACTACAGACAGTGTCCACCATGTAAGTAACGTCCGTAACTACAGACAGTGTCCACCATGTAAGTAACGTCCGTAACTACAGACAGTGTCCACCATGTAAGTAACGTCCGTAACTACAGACAGTGTCCACCATGTAAGTAACGTCCGTAACTACAGACAGTGTCCACCATGTAAGTAACGTCCGTAACTACAGACAGTGTCCACCATGTAAGTAACGTCCGTAACTACAGACAGTGTCCACCATGTAAGTAACGTCCGTAACTACAGACAGTGTCCACCATGTAAGTAACGTCCGTAACTACAGACAGTGTCCACCATGTAAGTAACGTCCGTAACTACAGACAGTGTCCACCATGTAAGTAACGTCCGTAACTACAGACAGTGTCCACCATGTAAGTAACGTCCGTAACTACAGACAGTGTCCACCATGTAAGTAACGTCCGTAACTACAGACAGTGTCCACCATGTAAGTAACGTCCGTAACTACAGACAGTGTCCACCATGTAAGTAACGTCCGTAACTACAGACAGTGTCCACCATGTAAGTAACGTCCGTAACTACAGACAGTGTCCACCATGTAAGTAACGTCCGTAACTACAGACAGTGTCCACCATGTAAGTAACGTCCGTAACTACAGACAGTGTCCACCATGTAAGTAACGTCCGTAACTACAGACAGTGTCCACCATGTAAGTAACGTCCGTAACTACAGACAGTGTCCACCATGTAAGTAACGTCCGTAACTACAGACAGTGTCCACCATGTAAGTAACGTCCGTAACTACAGACAGTGTCCACCATGTAAGTAACGTCCGTAACTACAGACAGTGTCCACCATGTAAGTAACGTCCGTAACTACAGACAGTGTCCACCATGTAAGTAACGTCCGTAACTACAGACAGTGTCCACCATGTAAGTAACGTCCGTAACTACAGACAGTGTCCACCATGTAAGTAACGTCCGTAACTACAGACAGTGTCCACCATGTAAGTAACGTCCATAACTACAGACAGTGTCCACCATGTAAGTAACGTCCGTAACTACAGACAGTGTCCACCATGTAAGTAACGTCCGTAACTACAGACAGTGTCCACCATGTAAGTAACGTCCGTAACTACAGACAGTGTCCACCATGTAAGTAACGTCCGTAACTACAGACAGTGTCCACCAGGTAAGTAACGTCCGTAACTACAGACAGTGACCGCTAGATAAGTAACGTCCGTAACTACAGACAGTGTCCACCAGGTAAGTAACGTCCGTAACTACAGACAGTGTCCGCCAGATAAGTAACGTAAGTTACGACATACTGTCCTTTAACTTAGTAACTTTTGTCACTCCCGCCATAGCTATATATCTTAATTTGAGATATTTAGAAAGAAATACAGAGATATTCTCTATATTACATTGCAAAAAATGTAAGGATATCTAAAGTTCATTTGGAGATGTATTTTGAACTGTTTTAAATATATCTGTTTGATTTAAAGATATCACATATACCTCTGCGACCCCTCTTTAAGTATTAAGTAGGCTTGTCACAGATTAAATCTTCCACATCCTTGTGTCAACTTCATTTCTTCTATTTACATTTTTGAAACATTTTTTTTGTGTATTTACGTAGTTGATAATAGTTTTCACAGTCAAATGTGATGTGACAGAAGTGCTTGTTTGACTCACCCTTGCACCAAATATTCTCAATGTCATTCGCAAGTACTTTAATGAAAAAAAATCCCCTTATAATATTCATATGACAAAACCAAACACACGAACACACATGCAGTACAAAAGGACATTAAGGAGGAACATAGCATTTTTTTTTAGGCATATAAAATATTGAAACCCAACTTGAACATGTATTAGCAATTTGAAAGAAAAAGGTCCTGCAACGTTGTGGGTTATAGAAAAGGCCAAAAACATGAGTTTCATGTCAATTGCCTGAACAAGATTGGGTAGGTCGGTAGGCAATTAATTCTATTTTAATTTTGAATTTAATGTTCATGGATCAATATTAGATCTATGCTTAATATCAAATTGTACAATTCATTTCCACACATTACAAAGACTGTTGATTTTGTCAAAAATAGGTCCAGACTCACAGAACAGGAAGAAAGTACATTTTATTGAGTGGCCGTGAACTTTGCCTAACTAATAAACTAATTTTAGATACTAGCGAGTAATACAATTTCTAGAGTCGGAAGGAAAATCTAGGGTAGGGCGGGATACCTGAAACACACATATTAGATTTTGGCCTAATACCGGACAGTTGTTTTCCTTGTGGAATGAAATGAGAACTACATTCAGGAGAAATATAGACACATGAAAAAAAGAATCTTTTTATCTTTCACACTCTGTTAGTGTGTGTTGATTTCTTGCGTTTTGTTCTACAAAAATAACAATGTCAATTAATGACTAATCCCTCACTATAGAGAGTAACAACTGTAGTTTTGTATAGTCAGTTATCAGAAAGGGTTAATTATATTCTGTGTGTATTTTCAGAGTAACTTCCCCGATACGATACTCCGACCAGGCGAGGTTTATCAACAAACAACAACGTACAAGTTTGGGCTGGCCGAATGACCGGAACCGGAAACGGCAACATATCACACGAACCCAAACATAATATTTACCGAAATGAAATGCGAAGAATGTCGATATTGAATTAAATACTGCATTTTAATAAATGATAAAACAAACATTTTATTTGTTGTAAACTGCTCATAATGACACAATTGATAATAAAGCAACCAATCAGTGTTATCTGAAAAAATCTACCAAATACCATGTATTTCCAAGTAAAAGTAACAAACATAATGTAAATCAAATTGTCATAGATCTACATACCTAAACGGAATTATCAAATATATAAGCAGAACAACCAAATTTATTTAAACAGCATACTTGTCTGTATGTACACAAACCACTGATCGTAGACGAAATCATATGTCAGTTTTTTAATACATATACTACCTTGATGAATGATGCTGTTTAAAGCAAACCGATGACATCCAAAACTAAAAAACCTAAATATGCCTTACTTGGTGAACGAGAAATGCTACCAATGTTTATAAAACGAAATTGTAACACATTGCCTTTTGCCTTCCGAGAATGGAGGTATGAGCTGTAAACCGCCATTACTACAGTCCTTTCATTGGAAAAACATCCACAAAATTATCAAGAAACACTTCCTCTTTGAGTTTTCTCACAGCTTTGATATAGTTCCTCATATTGTTCCAGTAACGTTTAAACTTGAAAGAGGCCTTCTTTGAGCTCATCCTGTCCTGCACACGGAAAGGAATACCCGGCTGTCGGTCGGACAAGGGTACCAGGATCCGTGACACGTCCTGTCCGTCATCTAGCTTTGTTATTTCGACTGATGAAAAAGGAGAGTTCTTTGTAGATTTATACTTTCGTGAAGATTTCATATTGTCCATAGTTATTCTGGGCGTGTCTAAAGAGATGTCGAATGGTACAAGTCTGGACACAGTGACGGGGACGGGTTCTCTCTCGAGCAGGTTCCGATGACCTCCACGTGAGTTGGTTCCTTGATCCGAACACCGCCTTCGTTTGTACATGTATGGGTTAATTGCCGGATACAGAGGTGGTATCAATGTCTTCGTATTTGGCCCGCCTTCGCTACTCGAGTACGGAGTCTTCTTACGGTTGTCGTGATGTGTGGTGTTCCCAGTTTCCTGTATAATTCCTGCGCCCTTTTCGGGTAAGTGTTTGACCCTGCGCCGGAGATAGAGACCAGGGGTTATCTCTATCCCACCAACATCCACGGTACCCGTGTCATCGTGCACGTGCGGCAAGACGACGGACATGGATGTACGGCGGATGACTCCCACGAAGTGTTCCTCGACGTCCTCCGAGCTGGTGTCTCGCTCCCACTCAGGCCAAATATCCTGGCTCAACCCTGTCCCCGATTTCCCCGACAGCGTCACTGTCTGTGCATGTGTCTCGTCATCACCTCTGAACGTTTCGAGGGCAACTCTACTAAGTAGAGAATGTCTTCTGTAAGACTTGCCATTATCGGTTGACAGGGCCCATGAGGACCTTCGGGACGTTGCTGCCTGTACCTCTATACTTTCCCGTCGATCGGGATCGTTCGGAACTTCCAGAAGGTTGTTCATGTCATTTTGTGAAACCAATGAACCAACCGACTTTACATTACCTGATGATGTAGCCTTTTCAACAACAGGTTTCGGAGATAATATTGGCAATGACGCATCGACAGTGCTTTTAGGTACGTCTTTCTCAGAATTTCTTTTGCTGATCTTCGGTGAAAAAGAAGTAAGTGTCATTTTTCTATGATGTATAGGGAAAAACCCATTTTCACGGCTACCCTTACGGTTTACGTCCTTTGAAGACTTTGTGACGGTTCTCCGTAAACTAGGTACCCGGGACACCGTCTGTATTTCTGGTAATAGTAGTGTTTGTATGGTCGGTTTACCATTATCCGGAGTGTTTTCGTCAGTCGGAGTATCTTTTTGCAGTCCCATATCTCATGGAATCGCAGCAGTCTATACTGTTACAGTCTTAAATTGTACCTGTATCGTTGTACTCGTGTTTTCGGCAGGTACACAGAAAACAAATATCACCTTTGATCACCCGTGTCTCATTAAGAGTCTCTGTAATACTACTGTAGATCGATCACAGTTAGTATTGACAGGGGGCGGGGTAGCGCGTGTTTGTTTTTGACGATAACTATGTATATACATTGAACAGCGGAGGGTTTGTGGTACGCTGTGCGTGTGTATTACACGTGTTATGTAATGATTTCTGTTTCGGCAGTACCAGTGTATGTTGGTGATTAATAACATTATAAAACACGACTGATCACACTCATTTTAATTGTTCTTTTATGTTCTTTATACGACCGTCCGCTGTTTCTTTCAGTCGCGACTATAGATGGTGTAGTACAACCAGTGAAATAGTATGTGTGACGTGTTGATGACTCTTACGGTATACAATGTTATCTAAATCAGGCAAATCAATGTAACACGTATGTATATAAAGGTATAAAAACAGGGCTCACGCTGGCGGTCGCCACCGGCGCCATGATTGCCGATTCGAAACTGCTGTTGGCGAAAATGCCGACGAGGGGCTTTTATCTAACTTTCTTTCGTCAATTGAAAAAAAGATGACGATAACTGTTAAATATGCACGGGATGGCAATCAAACCTAAGAGTCGACAATTCACTGTTCCAATCTAGTGCTAGCACTAAGCTTATGGAAACAGTATATAAGCATGGCATACAGGATATACTCAAGAAACGATTGCAGAGGGATTTTACCACACATGTCAACATCATAGATTCAAAAAGCAGCACCAATGTACTTCCTTGACACCCTGCTGGTAAAGTGGATTAAGGACACTCTAAGGGTCTGTGGAGGGATAACTGAACGTCAGATGCTCAACAGATGTGATACGAACGCCACAGAGCAACAGGACAAAACCAAGGACAGATTCAGATCGATGGGGCAAAGAAAACGTGTGGAGATTCGGAGAATGAGCTCTTAGAATGTAAGCGAACAAAACGAAAGGTAGGATGGTCATCCTTTACATAATTGGATTTTCTGAAACATCGTCGGCCATAATAAAGCAAAAGCCATGAATTCAAAAAGACGCTCCAAAACATTCTAGCACACCCTGAGGTCAACGCATCGTATGAACATATAGAAGAATGCGTGTACAAAAACGGCGTCGTGTCGTACATGTACGTCAGAAAAAGTAAGGAAAAAATGGAAGACGATTTGGGAACCGACTTGGATACGTACATCCAAGAGGAATCAAAGTTAGCAGATCAGAAATAGCAACCAGAGTCCTAGATCAATGCATGGCTAATTACATATCGTGCCACAAAGCAAAATCATGTTAATGACTTGGATAATTCCAAAGTAGTGGACAGAGAGAGCTGTTCTATTGATAAATAAAGGAAGCCAAATAAATGTCTATGTTGATTGTCATATCATTCATTAACAACATCTCAGCGCACATCCGATTAATTATTGCGTAGTCGAATCAACTGATTTGTAGATTTTATTATCATCAGTTTACAACTTCGTGTACATACGCTTTACTGGTCAACTGGTCGAGGTAACACATAGTACATAATGCCGTAGTGATGGAAACGTTACACATTTAAAGGTCATATGTTGTGCTCTACGACCTGTATACAACGTTCACAGACATTTCAGTATTTTACCAATCACATATCAGACATTTACCACAAGGCCTATCTGTACACGTTACGGGACACATGGAACATATGGTTCGATTAAGATAACAATTAATGTATCGTTGACATATATTAAAACGCAGCTGCCGTCACCAGTCAGGCCAATGGAAGGGAGGTAGCTCGAAACTGACAGCGGTTAATACCATATTTTTATTCAAGGGAGATAAGTCTTGCATACATGCCTCACTTACATGGTTTGATGACTTCGAGAACGGTCGATGAAGACACTCGGAGGCTACCCTCGCATAACACACTCCCGCTTTTACTTATACAAAATATTGCACTGGTTATATCGCTTTGTGATAGTGTACGGATCTGTTGTCATATCAGTACGGACGATACACGTTGGTAGTAACAATTTATGAAGAATTTCTGATTTTCGTCAGAACTTCTCATCGTTTCTTTATTGTTAGAAGTTTTGTCTGCTAGAGCTATCCTCTCATGCAGCATTACACATGGCAAGCCAAGTTGTCATTTATTATTGGAGCAATGTTGATCCAGTACTTAACCAAACTATATAAGATATCTTATATATAATAAAAGATATCTTATATAATTTATGAGATATCTTATATAATTATAAGATATTTTATATAGTATATGAGATATCTTATATAATTTGGTTAAGTACTGGATCAACATTGCTCCATGAATAAATGACAACTTGGCTTGCCAAAATTATAGTTACGTTTAAGATTCTGCAGTAGTATAGTGAGCACTTAAAATATATTTTATACAAATTGTAATTTTGTACAAATGGAGCGAATATGTTAAATAATTATAGCACATAAACAAGTGTATGACCTGCTCGGAAAACCTTTGTTTATGCTAAAGAACGGGTACATGTAGATAATGGCCGTATTACATCAATGTATACGGCAAGGCACTTATCACGTGTTTAGTTATTTTAGCTTGATTCAAAGTCAACACGACGAAATCATAAACCGATACCACAAAATAAGGACATATTATATATATTTTCTGCTTTCCATTGGTAGGAAAAAACGTCACGGAACAGGATCGTTGTACTTCCTATAAGTGAATCTAATCAAAGCAAAGCATAAAAGGAACCTTGTTTAATTCCTCATGTTACTCAATTTCTAAAAGTATTGATTGATTGGTTTTACGTCCGCTTCACTACCGAGTAGTTCGGTTACCAGCAGACGAAGAAAAGACGGGAAAATGAGTAGAAGGGATAACGTATGGAGTAAAGGGATAGAAGAAGGAGACATGGGAGAGAAGGAGCCGTCTATCCTATATGTATGTAACTCTGGTAAATACTAGCCGCAATATATCGCTCGGCTATAGAGAACTCCTCTTTAGCTCGATCGGTTGAGCGTTAGACTAGTAAGCCAGAGGTCCCGGGTTCTATCCCATGCGGAGGTAGTGATTCATATTTAATTAATCATGCGCTCTGTTACATTGGCGCCCACGTAGGGACCCGGGAAAAATACTCGGCCTTGCTCCACAAGCATCGCTGTTACCCCTGGAAAAACTCGAGGACGAGTTCTTTCCTGGAAGGGGGAGTATGTAACTCTGGTAAATACTAGCCGCAATATATCGCTCTGCTATAGAGAACTTCTCTTTAGCTCGATCGGTTGAGCGTTAGACTAGTAAGCCAGAGGTCCCGGGTTCGATCCCATGCGGAGGTAGTGATTTATATTTAATTAATCATGCGCTCTGTTACAAACTTCTCTTTAGCTCGATCGGTTGAGCGTAAGACTAGTAAGCCAGAGGTCCCGGGTTCGATCCCATGCGAGGCAGTAAGACGGCTCCTAGGCCTAATATTTGCCTTAACCTTACACTCGTCGTATAGCGTCACCAAGCCTGGACCGGAAGTGAGGTACTGAGCCGCCAGCTACACCAGCTCCTGACTATTCTATAGTTGGTTTGGTATATTTTAGAAGTCCTTCTAAATGTCTAATAAAGATAATCTAATTTTAACGGCCAAAACATTAATCTAAAAGTATATTGTACATTTTATATTAATTATTTGATTCTTTAGACCACGAATGAAGGCCAATGTCAGCCTTTTTTTTGTTTATCACATTGATATATATTTATATGAAAAACGAACATGCCAATTGTTAAAACCCAAAGTCTTAAAATGGATTTATTGGAAAAATTAAAAATCCTCATTTGGTTAAAAAAATGTCATACTTACAAAGGTGTTTGTCAGCCAGGTGCCTTTGCTACCAATTAAATTCTGAAACTATCAACTGTAATATCTAACCCAAGCTTCGTTTAACTGTGGATAAAATTTCATAAGAAGGTTAAGAAACGGAAATGATCTCTAGTTCTATATAAGTTCCTTATATTTATTTTCTTTTGGCAAAATGGTTTTTAACTCCTTTTTAGTCATAATGTATTTATGACATTTTTCCTTTATCGATGCGTGTATCGAAGATTTCACTAGATTGTATATTAAGTTCGTCCAGGAATAATTCCATGTTTCCATGATTTGTGGATCGCTGTTTGGGTATAAACCGTATTTAACACGTTAATCCCTGTAAGGATTACTCCCTTACACCGGAAGTGTTTGTACCGTGTAACAAGCATTGGCTTGACCCGGGCCTTACTCATTTTAGTGTCCGTGACCTTTTGAGAATAATTAATGATACCGGAAGATTAACCCAAGTGATTTGCACAAGGGCACTGGGTCGAGCAAGTTATATTACCAAACTAGTAATCCCATTATAGGGTTAATACAGAGATGTGTATTATGTCATCTCCGAGTCAGAGACATAGCTATTAGGAGTGTTTACTCGAGCTATAAATCCTAGAGATTAACTTAGATTAAGTTAGATTATTCTGAACGCAGGCATATCCATTTGCCTCTATATTCAAATCACAGTCCTTCAAATAATAATTACATATACAATTGTAATATAATGTACGTGACATCACTCGGGTGTTATTGTAAACATCCTGTCACCAGTGTCCCAAAAGATTTTTAAATGTTATAATATTCGGTGCTTGGACCACGTTCTCGGGTAAGGAGTTCCAGCGGCTGACTACACGCTGAGTAAACGAGTATTTACGAACGTCTAATCTACTTCTTGATTTGTCCATGCAGAGTGAATGTCCTCGAGTTCTTTTGTCTTGTTTAATTAATAGAAGCCCGTTGATCCTGATGTATCATATATGCCTGACAATATTTTAAATACTTCGATCATGTCTCCCCTGTTCCTTCTATGGACTAATGATGGAAGTTTAAGTCTATGCATTCTTTCCTCGTATGAAATATCCTTCGTCCCTGGCAGTGATTTGGTAGCTCTCCGCTGAACGTTTTCCAAAAGGTTGATATCCTGTTGTTTGTATGGTTTCCAAACGCATGCTCCATATTCCAAGTGTTGTCGTACTAAAGCTTTGTATAACAGGCAGAATGTTTTGTTGTCCAAAAATGTGTAAGTTCTTCTGATGGCTCCAAGTACTCTATTCGCTTTGTTAACTGCGGCTTGTAAATGGCTTTTGAAATTTAACTTATTGTCTATAATTATTCCTAGCTCTTTCTCTTCAACTTCCTCCTTCAGCTTTACCGTGCTCCTCATACCGTCCATATCCATGTAAAGGTGTAGACCATTTGGATTTTTATCCTTTCACAAATATAGTGCTTTACATTTATCTGGGTGAAACTTTAGTAGCCACGTGTCCGACCATTGTTGCAGATTGTCAAGGTCCTTTTGTACATCTCCCTGTTCTCTGGTATCCTTGTACAATTTGGTGTCATCTGCAAATAGCAGGGTCTTCGAATCATTTACTACATCGGTCAGGTCTAAGTTGGATTAGTATACCTATAATCGCCTTTATTGCCCTGAATAACAACCCAACAGTAATAAAGGCGAGAACAGTTGATACCCTTTGTTATTCCGTGTTAATCCGTCGCCATAAGATGACTCAGACCGGGATTAAAACAAAAACTCTCCGGGGATATATACAACATTACCACAAATAACGGTGGGGGAAGTAACATGTCGGAGACTAGTGCTGCTGTCATCCATTCTACCATGGACCTCTAACACTACTAAAATTGACTAGTAACACGGACGTTACTACCATGGCGGACTAGTAACACGGACGTTACTACCATGGCGGACTAGTAACACGGACGTTACTACCACAATGAGTACGTATAGTGTGGTCAGGTTTTATTATATTTAGAAAAAATACAAAGAGATTCTGCGCAGCTCCATAGTTTGTAAAGAGATGAAAGCGATAGGGAACATATACCAAGTAAACTGATTTTGCTTATATAATGATGATAGAGTAAAGTGATAAATACCTACAAAATATTCCGGCGTTGTCTCTGTCTGAAATATGAAAACAAGGACAACCCATGTTTTCATTGCCTAGAGTATGTACGTACACTGAGGTATTTGTTCCCTTGTGTGGTATTAAATCAGTGTTCGGGTCACTCCTACGTAAAAGATACTGATTCGGTTCTTACAAACAGTTTGGGCATTCATTCACATTAAGGCTGTACGATTCAAATACACCACTGATTACCTAAGGGGCGTATTTGTCACCCATATCATAATGACATTTTTGTATCTGTTCTCTTTCAGCGGAAGCGGAAGTCATAGACGACAAGGGCAGGGCGGCTGCGCTGTCCCGGAACTATGGCCTTGATGTTGATATGGCCGATAGTGCTCTGGCAGCCTCGAGTGTGGCCAGTCGCGACCACCAGAAAAAGTGTTTGCATATCTATAGAGAGTTCATCAAAAACATGAACTGTCATTTAAAAGACGAAAAGGAAGTCAGAGAGGATTTAAACAGGTTACGAAAAGAAAAAATCACCAACATGAAATATTCGTTATACAGATCTGCAGGCGAGGATGTCTTCTCGTCCGCAAAACAAAAACGTCAGAAAATGATGGAGAACATGGCAATCGTTTCTCCATTGATATTCGATGATACCCGGATGAACACCCCTTGGGGACTGGACAACATTATTGACGAGGATTTGCTGCGTCCTCAAACGGCACCAGCACACAAGGTAACGGGGTCAGAAGAGAGAAATGGCCCAGTGGAGGACACAGAAGGGAGACCACAGACAGTTTCAAACACTAATTATAGACCGCTAGATTTTCTTGACGACATCACAATGGAGCTGGAAATTAATCAGCGTCATATTGGTGGTAGCGAGGCTCCCTTGTCGCCCACAACACATGGTCCTATCGAGTTTGCACCCCAACCTTCACCCATCAAAACTGAACGTGTCCGGTTTGCTACCCCGAACCTCTCGGGAGACAAGTCCGAGGATAAAGCAGGGTCGGACGAAGAAACAGACGGTTTTGTTGACCCAAAGACAGAAAGAACCAGAGCTCGCAAAATAACCATCAACGCAGTGTCATTTGCTAAACTATCTATCGGTGAGATAATGGCCAAACTCAAACACAAAGACGGAAAATTTAAAATAAAACCTATCAATATTAACTATACTCCGAACGAGGTGGATGCTGTTTTCATTGCAAAAGATCCTACTAAGGAGAAAATGGCTCTTGTTCGGCAGAGCACAACCTGCAACTCATCCACTATAGCAACAGATTTGAAAGTAAATAATCGAATCGCTATAATGAAATCTTTAATGGGTGTCAAAGTAAAGAAAAAAACAGTGTCTGAAATTTTTGACAATGGTAGAGACAGAAAAACTAGACATTTTAGGATAGTCCTAAAAAATCCGAAGTGTCGAGGCATCATTCCCGAACCGGCAGCGAATGAAGTGAGCAAAGAGGAGGACGAAAACAGTGTTCCTATTCATGTTTCTATAACCCCTATCATTCCAAAGAAACCGAATTTGAAACACACACCAGGGTCAAATGATTTTTTAGCTAACCAGCGTTCGACACCATCATATATACGAGATCCCAACACACGGGCAGGACGAGTGCCAACAATACATGCCTCAAGCGACACAGACGCCGCATTCATTCGGACTAGCAGCTTCGGCAGTCGCCTAGGTTACGACCACGCGCGTAATGATTCACGCATGTCTGTCGCGTCGTCCGTCAGTCAAGACCCATTGCAGCGTTCACTCAACAGCAGAAATATGCAGTACAATGGACGGACTCATCATGGTGCGGACGTAGTCGACCGTTCCGTGTCGGTTATGTCGGGACGCGAGAGCGTCATCTTCGAGGGCACAGACGCGGACATGACGGAGATGATTCGGATGTTGGTGGAAGGTGAAGGTCGAGGAGGAACAGGGAAACAATCGGGAAATAACCGTCCCGCCAGCAGAGCAAGTGTGGCCACGTCCGTAGCCGGCAGCCACTTCGGAAGAAGAATGAAAACACCATCGCGTAGAATGACAACTCCATCCTCCATGCTTAGTGATTCAGAGATGTCGTATGGTGGAGTAAACAGACCCCAGTCGGTGAACAAGAGGACGACCAAACAGATGGTGAAAGACCTCATTCAACAGGACAGGGAGTACCACGAGAACATGGACAATATGCGACGACGCATGGCAAGTACTGGCAGGAGGTCTAGTGTAACTATTCGTAAACTTTAGACTGATTTAAGTCAAATGTCGTTTGTCAGATGTTTTGCAAGTGAATCATAATGATGGATTGAAAGGCATTTTTTTTTTATTTCATACCTGCATAACATTGAAAACTACTGCCAATTCCTTATATTTTAGCCGGTCCGTGTCTGTTGTGTCGGGGCGTGAGAGCAAAATCTTCCAGGGCGACGCAAACATGACGGAGATTCCTTATTTTTTACCTTAATATAGATATTTTCATATCATCAGTGCAACAAGATTCCTGGAACAATACAAACGTCACCAAAATGTTCGATTAAACGGTTGTCTCCCCTTAATCGAGGCGGGAGGAGAATCTTCAGAATGATGCTGATACAATTACGTTCAAAGCTCGATTGACGCATTTACTTCCGGTACTGCTTAAAAAGGAACTTGCAGTTAAAATGTAAATATATTAGATATTAAAGTGTGACCGGTTCAATAAAAGTAGCATTCTGAAATTTGCATACGGATTAGTTAACTTCGCGCACATTTACTACTGATTACGTCACACAACAGTGTCTCGTCTTGCGGAAAATTTGCAAGGATACGACCACGATTATTGTTGTCGACGTCACGGATACTTATCACGTTCTATGGTAATGTTAAGAGATGATAACTCCAGTTTGTGGAGGAATGTCAGTGTAGTCTGTTAATATCACGGGATAGTGGCGTCATACTTTATGTATATAATACTGTTCAGATCATATCATCACATAATGTACTGTGTTATCAAGCGAATATACCCATGTCATATTGTTTTGCGTATTAACCCATGTAATATGACCTATCAGCCCTGTGATTGGTTGAAAGTTTCAATTGTTTCGATTGTGACTTCACGCCTAGGACAAGTACATCACGTTATAGAATTAGGCACTGGAGTCAAAATGGTGGCTTTTTACATTTCAAGGTTGCATGAAAATTGTCGTTTTTACACGAATAAATGCCACAAATCATATGAAATTTATGAAACACGTAATCTTAGACTCGTTTCATAAATCTAATATGAAATGGAAACTCATGTAAGATCCTATATATACTGAAGACAAACGTCATGCATTCAAACTTTGGTGACTTCAAACAAGTCGGAATGGTTGCAAACATGAGTTGGTGACGTGATTCAGTTGATAACCGGAAGTGAGCCAGATGGTGTATTATCAATCTTCTAACTTAAAACCATGGAATATCTTCTATAGTTGTGCTATGGTGCTTTGATAGTCGGCAATTGACTAACGTATGATCATTGGTTAATATTTTATAAAATATAATATGTGTAACTGTCTACAAATGTTTGTGATTGGAAATATGTTGTTATCATCTATAACGGGGTGTTCTACCTGAGGTCAAAACGATTTGGTTATCATACATAACAGGATGTTATTCTTCAACAGGAAATTACTCCGATGTGGTTATCCTGCATAACAGGATGTACTACAGGAAGAAAAAACGATGTGGTTATCATAAATAACAGGAATTTGCTTCTTAAACAGGAAGTTAAAACGATGTGTTTTTCATAAATAACAGGATACACTACAAGAATAATGACTTTTGCGATGTAATACATAATTACACCCTTACTTATTACATTTCTTATTGTTTGTTAACGATGGTTTCATGGTCAAGAAAATAACACGAGAAGTTGCTGAAGCACTGATAAACTTAGCGAGTCGTAAACACATTTCCTTAACATAATTTAAGATAATTTTGGAAAATGTACAAAAAGGTTTTGTTTTGGTTTGTTGATTTTTTTTTTCAATCACCCTGAATCCTTCTACAGACGATATTCGATATAAATGTTTTTTATTCTATTTGCTCTTTTGTTTGTTTTCTGTGTTTTCTTTTAAATATACTGGATTAAAGTCTAAGTTCACCTACCGTTTATACCGATAAATGTTAATCAGCCTAGTGTGTGCAAGTTTAAAAACAAACGCCTTTATTCAACTGTATCGTGCTGTACTTTCGTTAGTGCCCCCCATGGTAGCAAAGTCTACATGTAAGTCCCGACTGTAGGGAGTAAGCTGGTGGTCCCGACTGTAGGAAGTAAGCTGGTGTTCCCGACTGTACGAAGTAATCTGTTGGTTCCGACTGTAGGGAGTAAGCTGGCGGTCCCGACTGTAGGGAGTAAGCTGGTGGTCCCGACTTTAGGAAGTAAGCTGGTGTTCCCGACTGTAGGGAGTAAGCTTGTTGTTCCGACTGTAGGGAGTAAGCTGGTG